CCAACGGCGTCTCCTGCCCTGGCCTTTCGTCGCCCGCCTGGGCCTCGGGCGCGGCGACGAGTACTTCCTTTCGCTTTGTGCAGGAGGTGGCCGCCCCCTCGCGGCAGCGCGGCGCCAGGGTGCACCGCGTTAGAGCGACTCCCGGCGCGACGACGGCGCAGTGGACCCCTCCGCTCTGCTGGGATCGGCCGGGGGAGTCCTGGCGCCGTGCTCTTCAGCCGCATTGACTCCATCTATTTCGACGGCCCCTTGCGCTGTGTCAGGCAGCCGGGGGCAGCGCGTCCCCGTTCCTCCGCTTGTTTCCGACTGAGACCCCGCGCCCCCGCGCCCCGAGAAACGGGGCGCCCCGCGGCGCCCCCTTCCCGGGCGCCCTCGGCCCCCGCTCAGACCTCTGGCGCCACGGCGAGTTGCCGCTTCCATCGGCGGGGTCGGGCTGGAGGAGCTGGGGGGGCCGCGAGCGCAAGGGACTTGGCCATCTTCGCTTTTCTGCTGGCCCTGTGCTCGGTCAGGCAGTTGGGGGCAGCCTGCCCCGATTGCCCCGGCCGTCTGAATCGGGCTTCCTGATTTGGAGAGCGCTCCTGGCGTTGCTGCGCATGTGGCTTGCATCCCTCCCGAGGTAATGGAGTCTCCTGCCGCTGACTCGCCTGGCCCGTCACCTGGGGCACCTGCGGGGGCCGCTGAAGCGCGCGGCTTGACGGGCCAGCGGATTATGTTGCTTCGTGGCGACGTCTCTGGACCCTTCAGCATGGCGCGGTCGCGCGCCCATCATTGTGGCGCGCGCTGTCAAGATGCATGCGTCCCTCTGCAACGCCGATGACGGCGTCGGTGCCTCTCTCGATAATATGGTATTGGGCATTGGCTTACGGCCAGCATTCCCACGGGCATGGGTGGCACTCAGGATGCGAGATGATCGCTTTTCGCGCGCGCGTGCGCCCACCGCGCCCCATCGACCAGCTCGGGAAGCAGCTGTTCGGGGCCGCCATCATGACCCCTGCGCGCGGTGCCCCCCAGCGGCGCTTCCTTTGCCCAGAGGCAATGCTTTCTCTTTTGTAGTTGATCTTCGGCCCGAGCTTCGTGCCAGAGAACGCGGCCTGCGCATCCCCATCAGCCCTGGGGCGTTTCTCAAGGGTTTCGCCGGCCCAGGGGCGGTCATCCGCGATTGGAGCATGACGTGGCGCATTCGATCTTCGGGCGGTCAGGGTGGCCCGCTCAGCTTCGAGGGGGTCTGCCGGTTCTGGTTGACGCCCACGTCGCGCGCGATGCGGCGGAATCAGGTTCGCCGATTGACAACGCGTGTGGGGAGGCAGGCGCGCTGCAAAAAAACAAAAAAACAGTTGAGAGGTTATGCTGCAATGTTCTGGGAAGCCCACATAGGGCCCAAGTCGGGCTCGGCGGGTCGGCGGGGGGACGCGCCCGCGGGCGGCACGCGAGACCGTCGCGCCAGTGGCCTTGCGCAAAATAGGTCGCCCCAAGGAGGCCTCATATCCCACTGGCCAGCGGTTTCGACAACGCGCTGCCGCTCTTGAGCTTCGACGGGGGCGTCGTAGATGCTCTGCGCGCTGAGCCTGCGGCGCCACCGAACCGAGAGTCCGTTGCGTTTCAGTTGCCTGATGAGGTTTGGCCATCGCGGCCAACTGCTGTTCTCGCGTCGGTCGAGCTCGGTCTGCATGGGCGCTTGTGGCTCGCGTCTTCTTGGGCAAGCTACCTCCATTGTCATGGGGGTTGTTTCGTCGGCATTTGCTCCATGGGCGGTCCACTTGGACATCGCTTTTGCCACTCATCACAGCACGCCTCTGAAAGAGATACGCCGAGCCCGCGTCGACGCCAGGCCGCGCTCATCCAACGCTGAAGGAGAAGGGTGGGCCATCGCCCATGCTTTGGTTTGGCGGGTGCCAGCTCTGGCTAGGCGCGCCGAGGATGACCGACAACTTGCTGATTGCGAATCGCCGTTGGACAGGCGCGCTTGTTTTCTCGCGGCTGGCGATGCTGATGATTCCCCAGCAGAGGGCGCCCCGGCGACGAGCGGCGCTGGCTGGGGAGGATTGGGCCTCTCCGCTTCTGCGCGGCCCAGATAAAGTCGCTGAGTCGGTTTCCTTCGAGGGGGGGCTTTCGCGTGGAGCGCAAGCGGGATGTCGCGCAGCACGCAGGCGCGGCTTCGTCGAGTGGGAGAGGGTACAATGGTCTACTCACCCTGGTCGTCGTCATGCGTTAGTCAAGGGCCCGAAGGCCCCAAATTTTTGAGATCCTTCAGGATGGGCTGGTCGTTTTTGACCCCGAGGAGGGGCTCGTTTCGACAGCCGCGCGGGCGCCGCCCTGGACGGATGCCATCTACCAGCCCCAGGGCACTGCAGCCGTGTTTCGGGGTTTTCATCAGCGAGCCTTGGGAGAGGATCGTTCTCCGTAGTCAGCTGAGCAGTTGGACGGCTTGCAGCCCAAGCTTTGATCAAAAAACCAGCGGCATCGATTCGACGACGCCGCGAGATATGCGACGTTGCACTTCTGCTGGTCGCGGAGGTTCCATGGCGCGGCCGTCTGCGGCGGAACGGCGCGGAGTTCGCCCCGCTCGACTTCCCACCGCGGCGTGCGCGTTACTTCCGAGACCTGAGCGCAATGACGTGCAATTGTTTTTTGACCCCCCAGATGTTGCGAAAATCCGATCACGCTTGCATTATTATGCGGCTTCTCCGCAGGCAGCTGGCCTTCTCGGCCCTTCTGGGCGGCGCTCGCCAGGCCCCCTGCTCGGGGGGGGGCGCGAGTGCCGGGAGTCTTCGCGGCCGCCGTCTTGCTTGACTTCGAGAATGGATTCATGTCTCTTGGGTTTCACCATGCAGAGTTGCAGTGGATGTCGATTGTCCTTCGATTGCCACTCGTCCAGAGGCTCGCTCGCGCGCGGCCCGCGTTTCTTGCGGGGCGCGCTTGGCGCTTCAGGTGCGAATCGAGCAGCGCGGCCCTTGGTGGCTTGATCGCCCCATGGCGTTCGTTCTGCGAGTTTCATTGCCCCTCCGCTTTTCGTCGCAAAGAGCGCAGCGGGCGGACTTCGCCATGCTCTGGGCGCCCATTGATGACGCGGCGTTGCGTGCCGAGGGCACGGAGAAGAATGCGGAGTCGGTAGTGGCATCGCCTTGTAAGTGATTCAATGAAGGTTGGGCTGTTTTGCGCGCGGCGGCCCCAGATGCGGCGACGGAAGTCGCTGCGCCATCCAAGATGGGTCGCCGAGTAGCTGTCCAACTCCGCAAAGCTCGCGTTCATGTGCGGGGATGCCTCGAAGCTGTCGACCTGGCAGCTGATCCATCGGGCGGAGCGGCCGGTGCGCAAATCTATCTGGAGGGCAGGTGCAGCCACGCGACGCAGCGGTCGTTCTGGGGGGACCTCCTGCATCCTTGTGGGCCAGCATCAGACAATTCCCCGCGCCGAATTGTTCGCATCTTTTGTTTGTGGCTGGAAGGCGCGGCGCGGGCGGCCCAGTGCACTTCGTCACGAACCACTATCCTGTCATATCGGGTTGGGAGTGCGGGTGGGCTGGCTCGACGGGGGGGCTGCGGAATAGGGACGTCTGGATACGTGTCCAGGCAGCCTTGAAAACTCGAGGCCCTGGGCCGGTCACCTTGGAATGTACTGCGCCCCGCGTGGAATTAATCAGGCCAGGGCTGACGGCTCACTAGAAGTTTGTGCGCATTGGAAATTCGTCTGCAGATGTTGCTGCAACTGGCGTTGCGGCCGTAGGTTGGCGGTTTGCTCGCGCTGAAGTCCGAAACCCGAACGGATCTGGGGGATGTGCAGGCTTCTCTTGTCCGGCATCGAACTAGGCGGGCTGTGGTGGATTCGTGCAAAGCCGTTCTAAAAAGGGCCCACCATAATGGCGCGAAAAAGGGCCCGAAGGGGCTCCGCGCTCGACCAGGCGATCCGTTCCGGTGCTCGTCTGTTCGCTGTCTGCGGCCAAAGTTTCCGCTGCACCTTGCGCGAACGAAGCTGGGATGCTCTGCTCGCTCACTGCGGGCCCTCTTGCATCCCTGCGGTGGGCGTGGAGCCTTTGTCCTGCCGATGTGGTGCGCCGTGCTGGCGGTCCTGTTTCCGTGGGGCGTGCGGCCTTGCATTCTTCCCACAAGTTGTCTCTCTGGGATCTTCGCGGCATCTGCGTCTGCCAGCATTGCGGCCGCACGGCCCAGTCGATACGCAGGCATCTGGTGGGCCCCTTGCAAGGCTCCCGCTGAGAAGGGCGTGCGGCACTTCGGCGGAGGTCGGAAGGGACTTTTCCCGTCCCTCGCGAAGGCTCCCGCCAGCCTCCAACAGGCTCGGCTTCGGGCCCCGGTGGCGCAGCAGTCGCGCCCTGAGGCGCCTGCGCTTCGGGTGGCGGTTCGGCCTCCGCCCCGCCAGCCCCGCCCACTGTGGGCCCCCCTCCTCGCCCGCGGGTCGCGGGGAGAAGGGGGCTAGGGGACGCCGGTCGGTACCTCCGGTTGCGGGCGCATGGTGTGGGGGATGGCCCTGCTCTTTCGCTTTCCCCCCCCCCCTCCTCGTGCACGCCGTGCTTGCCAAAACGGTCCGAAACGTTCCTTCCGACGATTCCCCGTCCTTCCTCTCCTCTGTTTTCCGTTGCTTCCTGCCCTGCTCTCCTGGAGGTCTCCAGAGGGCCTCGGAGGCCTCACAAGGGTCTAAAGCACCCAACAATCTCGACCCCCGATCTTTGATCCTTCTCTTCTGGAGGCATCATCCCTGCCCCTCCCTCTTTCGGGGGCCCTCAAACAGTGCGGTGATCACACCGTGTGGTGAGTGAGTGGGGACTCGGGGTCACCACGCTTGGGACTTGAGTCGTTCTCCGAGGATGTCTCGGGCGACTGGGACCTCCGAGGTCCCAAACCCTGCGGTAATGGACAGCGCGGTGAGGTCGATGGGGGGTTCCGATGTCACCATGCGGTCTGTCACCACACGGTTTCGGGGGCCCAGATTATCACTTTTCTTCTTGCCTTCCGCTCCATCTGCCCCCGGGAGCCAGTGGGCTGGAGGTGCACGACACGGTGCAGTCCACCGTGCACGCCGTCCAGCCGCTCCTGTCCAGCCGACGGGAGACTTTTTTTCTTTCAGCCAGCTGCCCAGGCCCAGATCATTTCATATACCGAGAATGTTCGGTAACGCTCTGACGAGCCGTTCGCGATCGAAATTCGGCCTCCAGTCGCAAATCCTTGTGACGAGCGAGCCTTGGACGGCCTCGAAGCCTTCGCTTGGACCCTCACGCGCCGTTGTTTCGTTACCAGCATTCGAACCCCCTCCGGTCGCGACCGACATTCGGCGCGCTAGGAATCCGTTACCGACAAGGTCCAGACGCGGATGATCCGGGGGGGGGATCCCGTGTTGAACAGATTGAGGGGCTCTCTGCGCATGCGGCGGGTTGGCGCAGCGCCGGAGCGGTGTCGTTGCCTCGCGGTGAAGCCTGCGGCCTTTCTGGGGCTGCGGGAGGCCCCCTCGGAGTGATCGATGGCCGGGCGCAGCTCGGCAGGCTGGTCGGGTCCAGGTCTGGCTGGAGTCCAGGGCCGATTTTGAGGGAAAGCGGCCTGCTTTTCGGCAAGTTCGCGATGCTTCGACACGGCGGCAGCGCAGATGCGAGCTAGGCTGAAGGCCCGCTGGAGCCCGAGCCTCGATCCCATGGCGTGAAATCCATACATCCATACCCTGGCATCGCTTGGACGTGTGCATGTTTCCTTCGGGGAGGTCCATTGAGGAGCATCCTTGATCATTTGGCGGAAAAAAAACTACGCACGAAACCGAAAAAAGCACAGGGAATGGACGTCCGAGCGATGGCCAGATACAGAATGTGGGGTCGACAGCCGTTGATTACCTCCAAGAGTGGAGATCGTTCAAGGTGGAACGGTTCACGCGGTGTCAGAGGCCAACGCCCGCGTCGACACGGCACGAGTCAGCCGTACCCGCGTAGTGTTGTTGTTGTTGTTGTTGTTGTTGTTGAACATTATTTCTTCTTAAGAATAATTATTGTTGGGACCCCTGGTGCGCGACCCCCCCGCCGCGCCTAGGCCGCAGCCACATTTTCATCATTTTCGTGAGGAAGTCTCAGGCAAAACGATTGGTACCGGATCCGGTTTTTTGTTGACGCTCGTTTTCCCTTGCAAAAAACAATAGAAAATGAAAATTCTTGTTCTTAGTTGATCAAATTGCAAGAATCCCTTGCAAAAAATAAGGTAAAGTGGACATTCGTGCGCGCAAGACGAAATCCTTCCAAAACCTTAGGTTTCGTAACGATTTTAACATAAAAACATCAAAAACCCAATGGTTTTTTAAGAAAAAATTGTCAAAATGTCCTTCCGCGCGCGCTGTCCGAATCCCACAAAACCAATGGTTTTTCAACATTTATGTTACATGAGCTCGCGCGAGCTACTTTTTCTTGTTCTAACATAATCAAATTTCAATAATCCCTTGCAAAAAATAAGGTAAAGTGGACATTCGCGCGCGCAAGACGAAATCCTTCCAGAACCTTAGGTTTCGTAGCGATTTCAACATAAAAACATCAAAAAGCCAATGGTTTTTCAAAAAAAAATGTCCAAATTTCATCCCGCGCGCGCTGTCCGACTCCCACAAAACCAATGGTTTTTCAACATTTATGTTACATAAGCTCGCGCGAGCTACTTTTTCTTGTTCTTACATAATCAAATTTCAACATCCCTTGCAAAAAAAAAGTAAAGTGGACATTCGCGCGCGCAAGACCAACAAAAAACACGACGATCTCAGGAACTTGCCCCAAAAATGTGACCAACTCCGCTCTCTCTGTCTCTCTCTCTGTCTGCTCTCTGTCTCTCTCTCTGTCTGTCTGTGTCATGTATTGTATGTCACAATTGCAGGATGCTGGGCACACGCGCGCCCCGAATAAGTGACCAAGTTCTGTGGGTGTGTACCCCACGCCAGTGTAGTAGCCACGGTCGTCCGCACGCCACGAAGTGAAGTGTCCCAACGTCATAGGGCGGGAAGCTGGGTTTGGGTGGTCGCGAAGAGTCGTTTGGATATTTGGTAGAGCTTGAATGCCCCCCCACGAAGTGGGGGTATTGCCTCGCGTCGTATGAAAACCCTGGCACTGGGGAGAACACCACGCGTTCGGGTAAAATGATTGTTGTTGTTGTTGTTGTTGTTGTTGTTGTTGTTGTTGTTGAACATTATTTCTTCTAAAGAATAATTATTGTTGGGGCCCCTGGTGCACGCCCCCCCCGCCGCGCCTAGGCCGCAGCCACATTTTCATCATTTTCGTGAGGAAGTCTCAGGTAAAACGATGTGATCCAGATCCGGTTGTTTTGTTGTACGATCCGTTTCCCTTGCAAAAAACACTATAAAATGACATTTCTTGTTTAACATAACCAAACTTCAAGAATCCTTTGCAAAAAATGACACGAAGTGCACACTCGCGCGCGCAAGATGAAATCCTTCCAAAACCTTAGTTTTCGTAGCGATTTTAACATAAAAACATGAAACACCCAATGGTTTTTCAAAAAAAAAGTTTCAAAATTCATCTTGCGCGCTCTTGCGGATTTCTGAGGAAACGCAATATTTTTTCAACATTTCTGTCAAACGGGCTCTTGCGAGCAACTTTTTCACGTGCTTCGAACTTCTGCAACAACGGTTGCGCGCATGCCAGGGCCATCATCCCTGTCAAATAATACCATATTGGACACATTCGTTTTTTCTTCGCGCGCGCACGCCGTCGTCGTCGGCCGCGGGGCCCTGAATAGTAGCCACGGTCGTCCGCATGCCACGAAGTGAAGTGTCCGAACGTCATAGGGCGGGAAGCTGGGTGTGGGTGGTGGCGAAGAGTCGTTTGGAAATTTGGTAGAGCTTGAACCGGCCCCCCCACAAAGTGGGGGTATTGCCGCGCCTCTATGAAAACCCTGGCACTGGTGAGAAAGGAGTGTGAACAGTCTTTAAAAGATTGTTGTTGAACATTATTTATTCTAAAGAATAATTATTGTTGGGCCCCCTGGTGCGCGCCCCCCCTGCGCCGCCTAGGCCGCAGCTACATTTTCATCATTTTCGTGAGGAAGCCTCAGAAAAGAGGGTGTGTACAGGATCCGGTTGTTTTGTTGTAATCCGCTTTCCCTTGCAAAAAACAATATAAAATGACATTTCTTGTTCTAATATAATCAAATTTCAAGAATCCCTTGCAAAAAATAAGGTAAAGTGGACATTCGCGCGCGCAAGACGAAATCCTTCCAAAAGCTTAGTGTTCGGAGCGATTTTAACATAAAAACATCAAAAAACCAATGGTTTTTCAACAAACAAATGTCAAAATCTCATCCCGCGCGCTCTTGCGGATTCGTAGGAAACCCAACACTTTTTCAACATTTCTGTCAAACGGGCTTTTGCGAGCAACTTTTTCGAACTTCTGCGACAACGGTTGCGCACCTGCCAGGGCCATCATCCCTGTCAAATAATACCATGCGGGACACATTCGTTTTTTCTTCGCGCGCGCACGCCGAAATCTCCAAAAACCATTGGGCTTCTTAAGATTTCTGTGGAAGGCTTAACAACTTCTGTGGGTTAACAAGGCTTAACAACTTCTGTGGGTGTACGAACGTAGGCTTAACAACTTCTGTGGGTGTGTACTCCACGCCAGTGTAGTAGCCACGGTCGTCCGCAGGCCACGAAGTGAAGTGTCCGAACGTCATAGGGCGGGAAGCTGGGTGTGGGTGGTGGCGAAGAGTCGTGTGGATATTTGGTAGAGCTTGCACTGCCCCCCCACAAAGTGGGGGTAGTGGCTGGCGTCGCATGAAAACCCTGGCACTGGTGAGAACACTGAGCGTTCGGGTAAAGTGATTGTTGTTGTTGTTGTTGTTGTTGTTGTTGTTGTTCTTGTTGTTATTGTTGTTCTTGTCGTTGTCGTTGTCGTTGTCGTCGTCGTCGTGGCGGTGGTGGTGGTGGTGGTGGTCGTCGTCGTCTTCATAGGTGTGTGCTTGTCGTCGTTCCTGCCGTCGCCATGTATCCTTCGTCGCATCCAGCGTCCTAGTTGTTTTCTCTCGCGGGAGGTGTGGGAACAGGACAGAGGGCGGCGGGGTACGGAGGAGGGCTGGGCAAGGAGGGATAACGAGGGAGGAGGGAAGAGGAAAAGACCGAGGGAGCCAGGAAAACACAAATAATGAGGACGGGGATGATGAGGAGGGGGAGGAGCAGGAGGAGGAGGGGGAGGAGCAGGAGGAGGAGGAGGAGGAGGAGGAGGAGGAAGAGGCGGATGGGGAGGGAGAGGGGACGAACGAGGATAACTCATACGCAAGGGGGACTGTGCGGAATCATGGGGAAGGGGGGAGAGAAGAGGAGAAGGAGCAGGGGAGGAGGATGAGGCGGAGAGGGAAAAGGAGAAGGACGAGAGTGGGGGGAACATGAACGAGGGAGGAAGGATGGACGAGGGATGAATGAGCTGAAGAGGAGGCGACGGACCGCCGTGCGGCGCTGGCGGCGGCCCGCGGAGCCGCGCTGGCCGTCCACGGGGCAGCTCGGCCACGGCGCGCGCTGCGACGGCAGCTCGGCCGCTGCGCACGGCGGAGGGCCTCTGCGGGGCCGCTACGCGGCCACGCGTTCGGGGCCGAGCCTCGGGCTCGGCCCGCCCTGCGGCCGATGGTTTGGGGTGCCGGTGGAGGCGCGGCGGCCACTGGGCACAGCGGAAGGCCTCTGCAGGGCCGCAGCGCGGCCCTGCTCGGGGCCGAGCTTCGGGATCGGCCCGCCCTGCGGCCGATGGATTGGGGGCGCCGGTGGAGGCCGGGCGGCGAGCCTGCTGCATCCCTCCGCGAAGGGCGGCGCGGCGGCGGACTGGCGCCGCCGGCGCCTCGCTGCGCGGAGGCGCGCTGGGGGACTGGCGCGGCGCCGGCGGATGGATGGCAGCGGGGCGCCCTGCGGCCGCGGCCGTGGGGTTGGTTGCCGCTGGTCGCGCTGGCTGCGGCGGGTCCCGTGCCCACCGGAGGCGGACCCGGAGGACGAGTCCTGGGCCAACGCCCCGCCGCCGCGCACGGCGCGGCGGCGGCGGCAGCGGCGGAGTGCTGGTGCGGGGAGCCCGCGGTTGGCGGCGGTGCTCCTCCTGCTGTGGCAGACGGCGCGAGGATCGACGCTGGCAGGGATCGGTTGTGTCGGAAGTGCGCGGGGGAGCGTGATGATGAACTGGTGCGCGAGTCAGACAGTCGCTAGCGGGAAGCAGAAGCGGAGGTAGAGCCGCTGACTTGCGCAGTGTGCGGCGGATTTTTTTCGGACACGAGGAACGTCGACTTGCTTGCCCCGACCAGGGGGAAGGGGAGGTGCACATAGAGAAGCGGCAGGAGGAAGATGAGGAGGGGGGAAGGGGTAGGGGGAGGGCGATGATGAGGAGGAGGTGGAGAAGGAGGAGGAGGAGTTGAAGGAGGGGGAGGGGGAGAAATAGAAGAAGGAAGGAAAGATGGCAGGAAGGAAAGATGGCAGAGGGGGGGGGCGAGAGGAAGGTGTTTGCCATGGCCAGGAGGAAACGGATAAGGGCAAACTAAACAGATGATCGTGTGGGGTCCTTCCGTCGGAGTAATGAGATGTGGTTCTCGCATGGACGCCGCGCACATTCCTTTTCATTATGTGCGAAAGTTTCGCGCATTGAGGGCGGGTGGCTTTCAAAATGTGGTATTCGCTCCAGCGCCGCGCCCGCTTGTTTTAAACAAAGTACATACAAGTCGCTGGTTCTTCTGGAGTCAGGACTGTCAAGGCGCAGCAGCTACGTCGATTCGCGGAGTGGGACTTCAGGAATGGTGTTCTGGCACGGTTCAGGATCGCCAAGACGCACCAGTTTGGTTAGATCGTGGCGTTGAAATCCTGAGAAAGGTGTTTTGGCACGGTTCAGGAATTTCAAGCAAATGCCCCCCAACACGGCCTTCCCCCCAGTGGAAATGGACCCCTTGTCCGGGCCTATGAAGCAGGAGCTTGGAGGGAAGGTGTATTCCAACATCATTGATGAGTCTTCCTCCTCCACCTTCTCCTCCTCCACCCCATTCTCCTCCTTCTCCACCTCCTCCTTCTCCACCTCCTCCTCCTTCTCCTCCACCTCCTCCTCCTTCTCCTCCTCCTCCTACTTTTCCTCATTCCAGAGAAAGAAGACGACAGCCTGGGGCGCGGGCGCGGCGTCGTCGCTGGTCGGCGAGCTTGGCGACGCTCGGGAGGGGAGAGGGTGATGGACGGCGAAGGGGGGGTGGGGGGGGGCGGATCGAGTAGGCGAGGGCAGGCCTTTTTGGATCTGCGCCCAGGCGTGGCCACGAGGGCGCCCCCCCTGGAGGCCCAGGCGGGGACAGGCACGCCCGAGAGCAGCTCCCCGAGCCTCGTCGATGCCCTGCCGATGAGAAGAAGACGGCACGCCCCGGCGGCCCAGCACGCGAGCCCGGGCCTCGACAAGCTGCTCCCGTGGCTGCAGGTCGCCGGGGAGGCGCGGCCGCCCCCCGGACCGCCGCCCGCCCCGGCAGGGGGCGCGCCTCCTCCTCCCCCCCCTCTCCTCCGCTCTCTCTCTCCGCGCTCCGCTCGCCTCGCTTCCACTCCCTCCCCTCCCTCCCTCTCCCTCCCTGCCTCCCTCGCTCCTTCTCCTTTCCTTCCTCACTTCCTCTACTTCCTCACCTCCTCCACTCTCTCTCCGCTCTCCGCTCTCCTCGCTTCATCCCCTCCCTCCTCTCCCTCCCTGCCTCCCCGCTCTTTTTCCTTTTCTTCCTCATGATGCCCCTCTGCCTCCCACGGTTCCTCCCTCTCTCGCGCGTTGCCAGGTGGGGGTGGGGGGAGGAGGATGAGAGGGACAGAGGGGGAGGGATGCGGGCAAGAACAGGCTGGAGGGGAGGCACCGGGAATGAGTAGACGGAGGTAAGGGATGATGATTATGACGAGGGCCAGGATCATCGGCCAGGAAGATCAGGAGGAGTATGAGACTCCGGAGGAACATCGAACAAGTGCAGAGGAAAAGGATCAGGACACATGAATGTGAGTGTCAAGATGGATGGTGTGGAGGCGGGTGGGGATGATGATGAAGATAATGTTCATGATGATGATGCTGATGATGATGATGATGATGAGGATGATGATGATGACGATGACGACGACGACGATGATGATGATGATGCTGATGATGATGATGAGGATGATGATGATGAGGAGGAGGATGAGGATGAGGATGAGGATGAGGATGAGGATGAGGATGAGGATGAGGATGAGGATGATGATGATGACGATGACGATGACGATGACGACGAGACGATGACGATGACGATGAGATGATGATGATGATGATGATGATGATGATGATGCTGATGCTGATGCTGATGCTGATGATGATGATGATGATGATGATGACGATGATGATGATGATGATGATGATGATGATGATGATGATGATGATGATGATGATGATGATGATGATGATGATGATGATGATGATGATGATGATGATGAGAGGTGAAGGATGTTGGATGGAGCGCAGGAGGAGGGATGGTTTGATGGAAGGAGCATGGGGGGCAAAACATAAGGAGGAGGGTTGAGGGAGCAGCGGGGGAGGAGGAAAGGGTGCCATTTGCGAAGGCAGGAATGGCAGAGAGCCCCCGAGGGCTGTTTGTCCCGCTGCGAACGCACCCACAGGCCGCTTTGCTGGAGGGTGCGGAGGTGCTGCTGAGCGCCCGCGCTCGCGCGCTGGTGGCCGCGCGCCTCAGCTGCGCTCCCCCCCCCGCGCCCGTCCTGTCCTGCTTCGCGTTGCGCCCTCGAGCCTCCCCGTCCCCTCCCTCCCCCTCCCACTTCCCTTTCCCTTTCCCTGCCTCGCCTCCCCCTCCCGCATCTCATGTTTGCCTCCCCATCCATTCCACCCCTCCCGTTCCGATTCCATGTTCCTCCTTGCCCCTCCGCATTTTCCTCCCGCTGCCGCTCCCCTCCCCTCCCACATCCGCCCCTTCCGCCTCTGCTCAATTCCTCATGCCCCTTTTCTTATGTTCCTCTTGTCGTGCCCGATTTCCTGTTTTCCCATGCCCCACCTTCTCGCTTCCCCTCCCCTCTCTCTCCTCACTCCGCGCCGACCGCTTTCCCCACACGCCTGTCCCTCTCCACTCATTTCCCTTCTGGAGGCTCCATCGTGGAGTGTACCAGGGGCTCCTATGGAGGCTCGATTCTGAGGGAAGCTGAGGGAGGAGAGAGGTTGAGTAAGACCGAGGGGAGGAGGAGGAGGAGGAGGAGGAGGAGGATGAGGAAGAGGAGGAAGTGGAGGAGGAGGTGGAGGAGGTTCAGGGGGGAGGAGGAGGAGGAGGAGGAGGAGGAGGAGGAGGAGGAGGCGGAGGAGGAGGAGGAGGAGGAGGAGAAGGAGGAGGAGGAGGAGGAGGAAGAGGATGAGGAGGTGGATTTGTAGCGTAGTGCAAACACCCTTGATGGGTACGTAGGCAGGGAGGAGGAGGAGGCGGAGGAGGAGGAGGTGGAGGAGGAGGAGGAGGCGGAGGAGGAGGAGGAGGAGGAGGAAGAGGATGAGGAGGAGGATTTGTAGCGTAGTGCAAACACCCTTGATGGGCACGTAGGCATAATCCTGTCGAGCCGGGTGGGGCACATGGGCTCTCCTATCCCAGGAGCGGTGCTCATGAAGGCTGGGATGACGCACCTTGTGGTCCCAGAGCCTGTGCAAGGAACACTGTTGGTATTTCATTCGTGAATTCAATTGGTTTTAGGGTTTTAACAAATGGTCGCAGCCACGCAGAGGGCGTGCGTAGCGACGCCCCAAATGCTCGGTCTCCAGTACTTCTACGTGGCGGCGCCCCCGCAGGCACGCAGAGGGCACGCGTGGCGACGGGGGCGTCGCCACGCAGAGCTTCTAAAAACCAAACATTTTGAAAACCAATTATTTCCACTACTGAAGTACTTGGTACTGGTGGGCCCTGGAAACGACGGGGCCGTTTTTTTAACGGTTCCGTTTTACCCTTCGTTTACCGTTTCCGACGCCGTTATTGTACCGGTTCCGTCGCCGCCTTTTGACCGGTTCCGGCTCCGGTTCCAATCCTGGAGCCGTTTTTTTGCCGTTTCCGGTCGCCGTTTTTTTTTGCCGTTTCCATTTTCAAGGGACCATTTTCTGGAAACGGTGAAAACACGGCCCTGCCGTTTCCGGGGCCCACAAAGGTACCTGGTACTGGTGGCTGATACGCGTGGTTCGCATACCCCGAGACGGCCACCTCTGTTCGCCATGTTGGGTCTGACGGGGGGTGCTTCACGATTGCCACTACACCGCCTCCTACCGTACAGGTGGTAGTTCATGATGCGTGTCTCATCACTTGATCAGAGGATCCCTCCCGCGGCCAGGGCCCCCTCCCCCCCTCGGCGCGGGCCACTTGGACCTCTGGAGCCACAGCCCCCGCACAGCGCGGTGCCCTCGCCAACACCTTTGGCAGAACATCAAACGAATCATGCTCACATGGTGAGTTTTAAAAACAAAAAAACATCACTTGATCAGAGGATTGGCTGGCATCCCCCAGAATAGCGCCAGACGCTGGCCCCCTAATAAGCAGGTTGTGGGAGCCGCCTGCCGGTGACCTCAGGAGGCCGCGTGGGGGCCCCAGCAGGCCACCGACGCAGGCTGTGGGAGCCGCGGGTCGGTGACCTCTGGAGGCACGCCTGGGGCTCCCAGGGATTCACCGACGCAAGAAGTGGGAAAGGTACCCCCTGTCACCCCGATCTGTGTCGTAGGGTCGGCCCATGGGGAGGGGCGAGCCCATCAGCCAACCTTCCATGGCGGTCGGTTGGCGGCTATGACATAATACACAGCTGCGCTGTTCTTCCCATCTGTTGGGCGGTACGGACGGGGGGGATGTGAACAGAGATGATCGCGGTGCAAATGTAACGTCTTCCAGTCGAAAGGCCGTCACGTTAGCCTGGACTAAGGAGACCGAAGAAAACGCACACACATACAGAGTACACACGTATCTATAAGCACACGCGCGTACATATATATATATATATATATATATATATATATATATATATATCCCGGGGGACGAGGACACGGGGCCCGGGACCGCGACCTCGACCCCGAGACAGCCCAAGAGGGCCCCAAGAGCCCTCCCAAGAGGGCCCCAAGAGGCAAAAATGGCCCGTCCCATGAGTTCGACGTGGACGCGCACGGGGCAATTGGCCCTGCCGCCGGGCAACGTCCCCCAGCCACCTGCCTCGCGACGGGGGCGAGCGCGCAATATCAGCGAACGCCTGCTATCTGGCATCGCCGCCAGGCTGCGCCCGCAGGGGGAGGCGGGTGCGCAGGGCCGCCGGCCATGGGAATGTGAACGCGCGGGGCCGCGGGCCCCCTGACCCCGGTGGCCACCCAGCTTAACAAGGGATGGGTGCCGGGGTCGCGGTTGGGAGGTGGAGGAGGAGGAGGAGGAGGAGGAGGAGGAGGAGGAAGAGGAGCAGGAGGAGGGGGAGGAGGGGGGGGGGAGGAGGAGGAGGAGGAGGAGGAGGAGGAGGAGGAGGAGGAGGAGGAGGAGAAGGAGTCGGAGGCGGAGGCGGAGGAGGCGGAGGCGGAAGAGGGGGAGGAGGAAGAGGAGGAGGCGGAGGCGGAGGCGGAAGAGGGGGAGGAGGAAGAGGAGGAAGAGGAGGAGGAGGAGGAGGAAGAGGAGGAGGAGCAGGCGAGGTTGCCGAGGGAAAAGGAGGCGACGAGGAGCGGGTCGCATGCTTGGCCTGGCATGCAGGGGCGGGGTCCGCCGAGGTCACGCTGGACCGCGCCGCTGCCCTGGCCGCAGGCCCCCGCGGGCATGCGCGAGCAGAAGCAGAGCCTCCCCCTCCCTTCCATCCCGCCCTCCCTCCTCCGTTTCTCCTCCATGTTACATCCTCCTCCCTCCCATTTTTCCCTCCCCTCCATCCATCCCTTCTCCTCTCTTCATTTCACCCCCCCTTCTGGCACCTGTGCCACTAGGTTCCCCTTCCCAAGTCGACAGGCGGGTCGCAGCCCGATCGTGCTTGTCTTGTCCGAGGGTCATGGGCAACCACGATGTTCGGCACGGGCGGACGGGGGAGAGACTATTGCATCCCGTCGCCACGTTCCCAACCATTCTTCCCACGGCCAGGGTTCCCCGCTGTGGCGCGCGCGTGGGTCTGGGAGGTCACTGGGGGAGTGGTGCCCCTCGGCTGGGTGACCGGGGCAGCACGACCATGGAGGCATGTCGTTCTGTGAGGCCGGGAAGGGGGACGAAGCTCGAAACAAGCGGGGGCAGAAATGCCTCGTCACCTAAGCGTCGCGCCAGGCATGCGCCGTGTTTGAGGGACGACTTTTCTGGGATTGGCCAATTTGGACGGGTTGCGCACCTGTATACCAACATCCAGTCTTTCGCTGCATCCCAGTAGCGATCCTCTGTTTTTCGCCCCCTTTCTAAATAAGTGTACCCGCTATGATCTACCGTCCTTGCGGCCACGCCGTCGCTTTGCTCCTGAGCGTACCCCCAGCCTCATCCTCGTCGCTGGCCCTCACCCGGCCAAGCTCACCCACGCACAGTCGAACCATTCGAATTCATACACTCAGGAAGGAACGCGCTGCACTATGAACCATATGCACCGAGTGGCATGGGCTGGGTGCCATTGAATTCGGCAACTCGGGCCGCGCGTCTTTCATCGTTGTCCTAATCTTGTGAGGCATCTTGTGGTGCGACCCTGCGCACACACACAAACAAACAGACACACACTGAAACACAGGCACGCACACACACGCACTCGCGACACACGCACACGCACTGCTACTGGCATTCGCAAATGATTCGCTTATTCAGTCATGTGTCGCGTGTTGTACATTTCTGTGGGGCCCAGAGCGGCCTCTTACAACAAACCCTTTACAGAACAACATCCGTTCAGTCGTATTGGGTAACATAGTCGTTGTGGGCAGGGCTACGGATGGCTCCGGCAAGGCGGACTCCAGTTCAGGGTTGTCCTCCAAGGATAAGGAGCTGAAGGCTGACGGCGCCCAAGAGGACACAGACATAGAAGTAGGAGGCGAAGACGAGAGTATGAACATGAAGAACATGATGAAACAGCTGATGGACATGATGAAAGGAATGAAACAAGGACATGCCGGATACCAAAAAGGTGGAGGAGGCGAAGACGATGGCACAGCAATCTAAAGTAGCAGCTAACGTGGCCGAGCAAGCAGTAGAGAGAGTCACGGCGGTGGTGAAGGATCTCCAGGGCAGCACTATCAGAAAGGAGGACCTGCCAGCCATCGTAGAAAAACTCGCGAAGGGAGAAGGGATGGGCAAGGCGGGGCATCTACGAACTGCACGAAGGATGGGGAATGGTAGCGGAGGGAAGGAGCAGGACTACGACATGAACGACAGGAGTAAGCAAATCGCCGTGATCGGGTTCGCCGACCAACAACCAGCAGCAGAAATCGTATCGAATATCGAAGGTGTGATGAAAGAGGTAATCGGAGGAGAGCCGCAAGCAGACCGAACAACATTGGTATCATTACGTTCCGCACCTTGCCCAGGAATATCGCTTTCTACAGAAAGATGAAGACCGACGGCTTCAAGGTAGAGAAGGATGGACTGCAGTCCAAGAGCGACCTCACGTATGAGGAGCGTTTGATGGAGAATCGTTTCGGTTGCACGGAACACGAAATCGCCAATGATGGTTATGCGATTATCGAGTACGTCAATGTTCTATGGCATTTGTCCATGGCCACCGTCAAAACAAAACAGTGGCATGGTATGACGAAGATGGTGCTTTCCGTACAGCAACTGTGGCTAAGGCGGTAATGGAGAAGATTGAGGAGTCAATGAAGAAGTGTGAGGCAACCAGGCACGGATGAGTCTGAGTGACTATCGTGTTGGAGACACGGGGGCGCAATGGGAGCGTGTACTAAAATTCTGTCTTCCAACAAACCCAATTCAACTGTTGAGTTTCACCAGTCTGTTTCAACCGAAGGGTCCTGTATGCTTTCGGAGCCCCGACCTTAGGCCCCAGCAAGATACGGAGGAGAACGATGCAGAGGAGCTTACAATTAAATCCCTGGAGACGTCCCTACCTGCTTCCTGACCTCACGGCGAGCCAGACGTGTTCACGAAATTCCGCAAGAACGTGAGAGGCTTCGCGGATGACGACCAATTTACGAAGCTATTGCAAGAGGTTGATATACATCGGGGTGTTATACCAAGCAGCAAGACGATGCGACGTATTCATAGAAAAGATGTGGGCAACAAACGATTGGCACGTGTTCGTTGGAGCTGGGGGAGACACGTGCTAGCATTGATTCGGGATACTGTTGCACATCCAAGGGTAAGCACACGTGTCGCAATTGAGTCCTGTGGGTTACCGTGTTGTTGTTGGCGGCGTCAAATGCGCGCACATATGGGCACGTTTCAGTTCTGCGCACTCCCCACACCTGGGAATCTGGCGACCAAGGCGCCCAGGACATCTGCGACACATTGTGTGGAATCGCGAGGGGGGTTAAAGTGCAACGCCTCCATTGGGCGACCGGTTATGACTGCAACGCGCAAGCAAGACCTGCGGGGGGAAAACGGCAACTCCAAGGTTTGCGGGGCGCGCGTCCACCGACCAGGAAACAGAGAGGCTAATGGTTGAGTAATTGGGCGAACGCAGGGGACCTTGCATTGACGAGCGCGATGTTCAAAACGCAGCTGTACTTCTTCACCGACCGATTACACTATGATGTCCAGAGGTTGTTTGGGAAAGCGATGTCGGATTCGGTCGCGCGTTCGCGCGTCGACCTGGGCTCTGATCGCCCAGCGGCGCGGCTACGAAATGCAATCTTGCAGGCGCCGCACGCATCTGGACATAATCGAAACCATACGTCTAACACCAAAACGTACAGTGAGCATCAATGGCGTTCTCTTCGTCAACATCGCTACGCGTCTTCGGTGGAAAATGCATAGTTTCAGGGTCATCTGCGTTGCTGCATGCAGAAGCAATTCCACGCGATCGGGATGTCACCCACCAAACTATGGACGAAACTTGCCACGATGTCGAATCACCAGTGGAAGCGCGAGAACAATGAGCACGACTCCAAGCGCTTATTCGTCAGCCGAAGTACCTGGCTTCGGCAAATTGCGGCCAGGGACGTGCAATGAGCATGCAAATCAAACGTGACATGCGAACATAACGACGATTACAGTGCATGGTGCGGACTGAACATCAACTTGCGGAATCAAGCGGGCTTGGCCAAATTTGTAATATCATGATTGGTATACACAAATGTATTCTCACCCGCATGCCTAAATCTATGGGCATATCACATGCTTCCGACAAGAGGTCCCATGCGTTTCCCCACACGTTGACCCATCATTACATGCGCGTAGCTCCGCGGCAGGCGCCCCAGGACGTGGAGACAGAGAGTCTGATTTTCAATTGGTGCTCAACCAGCATTTCACGATGGACGAATTTCAGACAGCACTAAAAGCAGCTGAATACGGGAAAACAGAGGACACGGACGGCATTGCAGAGGAGATTATCAAACATGGTGGGCGGAGTTTGGAGAACGTTTTACTGGGTCAGCACCGCGCCGCTTAGCGGCCTGGATCGGTACCCGCGGAGGAAGGAGACATGCGCAAACCAGCGTTATCCGCGAAGCTGGACCTGAGGTTTTGCCAGGGAACTACAGACAAGCGAGTCTTATCCCATTGCTATACAAGTTGTTTCCCCGATTGATCCTTAACAGACTGAAGCTCACACTGAAGCTCACACTCGATGCCCAGCGACCGCTCGAGCAAGCTGGATTTCGCAGACACTTCAGCGCTGGCCATGACCAGTTCATTTTAGCAGTGGTTCACGATATCTCTTGGGAGTGACAAGTCCCAGCGCGGGCAGCGACGCTCGATTTCAAAAAGGCCTCCGACGTTGTATCGCATTATTCTCCATGGGAAGCAATGGCAGCACAAGGTGCCCCCGAGCCGCGCATCCTGTCAATCGCCAACTTGTGCTCCGACTAGAGGGTTATTTTCAAGACAGACAGGCCCAGCAGGAAATTCAACATACAGCGAGGCACGAAACAAGGCGAGCCGCTGAGTTTTTGTTTGTTTTCCACCGCGAGCCGCTAAGTTTTTGATTGTTTTCCATCGGGCAGGTTTGGGTCGTACCTCGCGGCCACTCCCACCCTGCATGCTGCGGCCGCCAGACCCCAAGTTGTCCCGAGAGTCCCGGTGATCCCGCTTCGCGCCCTCGACAAACACGACAGAACACACCCTGCATGCCGCGGCCGCCAGACCCCAAGTTGTCCCGAGAGGCCCGGTTATCCCACTTCGCGCCCTCGACAAACACGACAGAACACACCTTGCATACCGCGGCCGCCATGCCCCAATTTGTCCCGAGAATCTTGGGTATCCCGCCTCGCGCCCTCGAACAGCACGGCAGAACACAACATGACACAACATACCATGACAGAACAGAGCAAGAGCATGTCAGAGCATGGCAGAACATAGCATGTCAATAACATGACATAACCGAGGGCACCAGCATCTCACATGACAGACCAGAGCAGAACAAAACAGAACAGAAAAGGACACAACACACTATACTATGGTATGACCGTGCATAACATGAGACACATTGGCATACCATATCAAATCATGGCACACCGTAACCAACCATATCATAAGACGGCAGCAGAGCATAGCTGCGAACACGCCAGAACACAACATGTCGCACCAGGCGGTAACATAACACATCACGACCATGCCACAATACGACAAAACATATCATAGCAGTATCAGGACTGACGATGACGAACATGGTATAACACCACATAACACATCATAACATATAAGTGTCGAACACAAGGTGACCTACAACAACATGACATATCATACTTGCGGAATCCAGAAGACACCGTGGAAGAACATCACATTGCATTGCACGTCGTCGCATATCATATAAAAAACACGACAGTTATAGTATATCGCCACATACTGGCATAGCATGTCGTAATATACAATATTGGACCGGACCGTCCACAAACACAACATCACATAACATACCATTATATAGCAGAATTGGGCACATCATTACACAACATAAGAGAATCGATCGTAACATAGCACATTCTGACAGGACCCATCATATCATGACACAGCATCATATAAACTATAATAACACGGCACCAAAGCATTGCGAAACATATTCGCCGAGCATATCATAGATAATGTATTGAGGCGAGCTGCCAACATCATCACGGAACAAAGAATATTATCACAGATTTCGCCAGCAGGCCATGCAAGAACATAGTGCCGCAACGTAGATCACGCCACAGCATCTCCAACCAGATGGTGACATACGTGAGCCAACGTGCACCCATGGATGTCTGATACCCACGTGCCGAGGGGGGTCCGCCCAGGTCCGCCGCGCGCCCCGTCAAACGACGCGAAGATCGGGGCAAAATCGGATCGGGATAATTCGAAATCTCTGAGAATCGGAGGGTTTTGGGGGACGTATTGGGCGCCGCGGCCGCTCCAGAGCGTTCCGGAACGCTCTGAGAGCGCTCCTGAACCTTCTGGAGCAATTTATCCCGATCCTAGCCCTGTTTTACCCCGCGCATGCTCGGGGGAGCGAAGAAAGGGCGAGGGGGAAGGGGGGGGGGCGAGGCGCATGATGAGGGAAAAGGCCGAAGAACGGGACGAAGAGGACGGAACGGAGGAGGAGGAAGAGGAGGAGGAGGGGGACGAACGAGGACGATGAGGAAGAACACGACGAGGAAGGAGAGGTCCGCCTCACCTCCTTGTTCTTCCTCCTCGTCCTTCGTCGTCCGTCTCCTGCTCTTGGTGCTGCTGCTGTTCCTCCTCTTCCTCTTACCGGAGGTTGATACTATATCAGAACAAGTTGTGGGGTATCGCAAAAAGCGTTTTGGATTTGGCTGTGTCCTCGTCAGGGGCTTGGGGTTGTTAGAATTCGGGAAACATCATTAACTTGCGACCTGGCCCGGCCGCCGCGCTGGCCGACACCGCCGGGCTCTGGCACATCCTTCCAGTAAGCGCGCACACCGTTGGGACCAAACGCCGAAGGTTTCGGTGAAGATCGCTCGAAGCAAGATAATGTAAGGGCCTTTTTTTCCGAGCATGTGCTCCAGCAGATTCAGGCCACGTGGGAAGTAAGGCAATAGGGATTGCGCATCTCTCACGGTGTGCAAATTTCTCACTCAAGTCAAACGGATATTGTCCAGCGTTGTGGTGGCGGCATGAGCAGTGCGTGTCCAATTCATCCAGACAAGACAAAGATATTCCACAATGCTCGAGTCCAAAAACCCTGAGCGCGGAGACGTCGCCGGGCTGCGCGTCTAGATTTTCCCAGTCAGTGGGACGCACATGCAGTTGAGCCGAATCTTTTCATTTTTTGCAGCAGCGGCGATCGAGGCGGATATGCGCACTAAGGCTGCCTGGGAGAAGTTTGGAATTTTTAAACAAGAGCCCACGCCGAGATCGGAGTCTCTCCGCGATCGTTTCCGGCTGTCTACCGGAAGTGTGCCTCCGACATGTCCATACAGTTCTCCATCGTGGATCTTGACGACGAGATTCGAACAGCAAATTCACAGCACTCGGAGACGAATATTTCGCGCGATTGTTCGAATACCCCAACGTCGGGCACGCATCGACGACAGCTCGAAGGAACAACCATTTGACGGTGATGATCGTAGTGCGTGTGGTGGTGGACACGATCACCTGGTAGGGCACGAGTCCAGCCCAGATCATTCCCAGAGTCGAGTTCCTCATTTAGCTCCAGCGGCAGCTCCGGTGATCTCGGACCCTAGCCCGATTGGGTACGATGAGTTGCGCGTCGCGCCGTCGAGCATGTGGAAGCCAAGGGGTATGAATGGTGGGTGGCGACGCAACGACGGTGCAAGTGGGATCAAGCACAGCATCTTGTGTTGAAAACAGGCGCACATGGAGCAGTGCTGTGCGACGCCCTGCGAACCGCTTCGCACCACGCAACGCAGTCCAGAGTAGCTCCATACATGCCTTCGACCACTCGTTGAATTGCAGGCTTCCGGCACGGCGGTACCGCCCCAGGCTTATATGGCTGTGGCATCCACTGTTGCGTGAGTCGGATGCGGAACATTTGGCCTCAGGCGAACGGCTCTGGCAGTACCTTGTGACAGACGTCGGGTTCGACTTCTGCTTCTTCGGCTGCTGACGGTGAAACCCGGTCCGACAGCCAGGCCCCCGTGCAGCTGCAGCAGACCGAGCGCCAGATGCCGTTTTGGCCACCCTTTCCTTTCGCCGCCCCGCCTTGCCCAGCCCTCACCTCGAAGAACAAGCAATGAAACAAACATGTGGGTTTGGAGATCCGCACGGATTCCCTGCATCGGCGCTGGACACCCCTCCCTGGCGCGCGGAGCGCGCCAGGGGTGGCGACGGAGTCGCCGCCAGGGGGCTGCAGCGCCGACCCGAGAGATCCGCGCAGACATCCGAAAGGTTATGCTTAAAGACTTTGGAACAAAGTAGCGAACACTCATGCCACATTCATCTGCCCATGCCCCTCCTCAGTGATCAGAGGTGATTGTGGATATCATAAGTTGCTCTTCGACCGCCGGTTTCCCCACGTGTGCCAGCTTTTAATTGGGGCGTTTCAATAACTTCCTCCTTGTTACTGTATGTCAGTATTTGTTCCCCGATCACCGGTTTCCCCGCCTTCACCAACCCGGAAGTTTCCGTTCATGGCAATAGTTTAGGCGTTCGATCATGGACCTTTTGTTGAACGCAACCCTCCAGCTTTCGCCCCGAAGACCGCTGGTGACCACCAAAGGCCAACAAAAGCCACGGAACACCGCTGGAGATCGTCAGAAGGCCTCCGAAGTCGGCCCAGGACCGATGGGCACCAAGGGTTTGGACGCCCGAAATCTCTTCGGAAAGAATGGGAACGATGCCCAACAGCAAGTGTTGTCCCACACCAGCAGCGGCCGCCGTTGGGCAGGCGGCCTCCTGTCTCGAATGGGCACAGGCCGCGGCGACACCGACAGCGAGTCCTGTTCAGAATGAACAGGAACTGCTGTTGGGCATTGTACCCATTCTTTCCGTACCCATTTCGGGCGTCCAAAAAGGGGTCCATGGTCCAACACGTCAAAGTGTTAGGTTCATGTCGGGCGTGTCCCCCTACAGGGGGATTTTCGACGAAAAATAAGACGTACCCCAAAAATACACCAGAAAGGCCAGAAACCATTCCAAAAATAGTCCCCGGACTATGTTTGGATTATTTTGGGAGTATCTTTTATTTTTCGTCGAAGATCCCCCTGTGGGGGGACAGGCCCGACTTAATATTAGTTCCCCGATCACCGGTCTTCGCGCCCTCGCCGGCCCCCGGTCTTCAGCGGAAAAGAGGGGGGTGATGACTAGGGGGGGGTGGATATCATGGCGTGGGCCATGATGTTTCCCCAAATTTCATGGCGCCTCTTCTCATTCCACTACGTCCCTGGCCCCCCCGCTGGGCCGCGCACATGCCGCCGGTCATGATTTGCACCCCCCCCTCTTGGACCCCCCACTCTTGGCCGCTCCCGACCCTTGCCGGCAGGCGACGCGCGCGCCGCCGCGGCGGTGCTCCTGCGCAGCCAGGGGCTGCTGCCGGCGGGGCGCGCGCAGGAGCCGTGGGCGGGCCTGCGTGCGGGGCGGCCTTTGGTCGGCGGCGACATCCGAGCTCTGCCCTCTCGAAGAAAAAACAACCCCAGAGATCCAACGTATTGAAACAATCAAGACCGAGGTTTTTTGCGGTTTTTCGCCTCTCGGGGCCTTCGCCGGGCCTTGGGACCGTCAAAAAACGATTCAGGATTAAAAACCGGTCCTGGGGAATGGGTCGGGACTCCTGGGGACCCCGTATTGAAAAAATCACGACATCGGATCTCTGGGACTACATCAACATGCTAGCCAGCGTGGGCCCCAAACAGCGTGCTTCTAGAACTCAGCGTGATGCAAGCTACGTGGAGCACTGTGTGTGATACATATATATATATATATATGTGTGTGTTGCAGTCTATGCTGTGCAAGCGTTGTCATGCGTGCAAGATGTCTGGTGCAATTTTTGTGGTACTACCCACGTGGTGCAACCTATGTGGTGCAATATGTGTTGTGCAATGGATGCGGTGATCCAATGTGGTGCAATCGATGTGGTGCAATCGCTGTGGTTCCATCTATGATCATCCATGTGGGCGGCGACGAAGCGGCGACGGGGCGGCGACGTTGGCCACATAGCCGCCAGACCGCCTTCCAGGCCCAGACAGGGGGCGTTGACGAGGCGACGACGGGGCGGCGACGGCGGCAACATAGCGGCCAAACCGCCACCCAGGCCCAGACGACGGGCGGCGACGGGGCGGCGACGGCGGCAACATAGCCGCCAGACCGCCACCCAGGCCCAGTTCCTGAGCAGTTTAGCAAGAAGCCCCTCAATGCAAGCACTGTTTGGGGAATCAACTTCTGGCTCTCCGCGCGGATTTCCTGGATCGGCGCTGGGACCCCCCTGGCGCGCTCCGCGCGCAAGGGGGCGGGGTCCGGCGCGGATCCAGGAAATCCGCGCGGAGCTCCAAGAGCCGCCCTGCTCTCGCCGATCACAAAGATTCAGGCGACCGGATGGGCGGCAGGGTAGAGAGGGGACGCGCATCAAGAAGCCATGTGCTTTTCGCCAGGGTACCCTGGGCCTCTTCGCTCCGCGCTGCGCGGTGACTTCCCGCGGCCGTTGGAGAAGCTGCTGCGCTCAGGGTGCTCAGGGTTCCCCCGTGAGTCTTGCGAGGGTTGCGTGCAACCGCGTCCGCACTGCAGGGTTCGGAATTCGTCGAACGCGTGGCAGAAGCCGAAGCTTACCCCCGCCTGCCATAAATTCAGGAGATTCGATAGTCGGTACAGTCGGGGCCCTGAGGAAGGAACCCTTTTCGTTGGGAAGGGGCTCCGCGTTCCTTCAGTGTTTCGCAGCTTGCCTCAGGCTTTCCTGATGTTTTCGACAGGAAATCGAAGGTTAACTTATGGAAAAAAAACGGCCTCGTTCCTTAGTTAGGGTTCCTTAGGTCAACGCCCTGACTGTACCCCCGCCTCCCATACATTCAGGAGAGTCGACAGTCGGCAGGGGTAGGGTTCGGACGTCGCCGCCAACCTCGGGCAGGCGGCGCAGCGGGAGGGGACGGGCTCCCCCATTCCGACGCGCAGCTTCGGTTCGAGCGACCCGAGTCGACATCGCTTTCGGCCCGTCCGATCTAGTCCGAGTTCGATTTTCGGGAGCCTTGAGACGGGGGTCAATTAAAACGACGCGAAGGTCGGGACAAAATCGGATCGGGATAACTCGAAATCTCTGAGAATCGGCGGGTTTGGAGGATGTATTGGGCGCCGCGGCCGCTCCAGAGCGTTCCGGAACGCTCTGTGAGCGCTCCGGAACGCTTTGGAGCGATTTATCCCGATCCTAGCCCTGTTTTATCAATGCAGACGGAGGTCAGCCAGAGCGCCTGATCTTGTAGGTTCCCGCAGGGCCAGGGGCGCACTGACCTAGGCTTGGGTTGCAGGATCCTGCAGGCTCCTTCGCATTTTACCCGGGTTTGGGTGCAGGATCTTGCAGGATCCTGCAGGGCCTGGCTGACCCGGGTCTGGATTGACCCGGGTCAGCAGATCACCGAGATTTGTCTGGCGATTTGGTGCGTCCCGTGGCTTGCCCGGCGTGCTTGCACCTCCCGTCGCGGCCGATCCGATTCCACTTCGACTCCGTTTCGCTGCAGCCCGATCCGCCGCAGATCCCGATTCGGCCCGATGACCCGATTCGATGCCAACTGGTCCTGCCATTTCCCGGACCTCCTGCGCCGCAGGCAAAACCACGACGGCAGGTGTCGGGTGCTAGGACTATCGATGGGACACCAACGGGTGCAGACGTCGGAGGGGGGTCATGTCACGAGGCAAACGACGAACATGGCGCGACCCTATTTGGGGGTGTTGCTTACGTCGTGGCCCACCGCTCATCATAGCACAGGGTAGCATGGCACAGGGTAGCATGTCGTAGCACAGCACACTACTGCATAGCACAGTGCGAGCCAGGCCAGGCAGATCTTCGACAGGGGCGGCGTGCAATGAAATGTCTTAGAAACGCGTGTCTTGCCATAACATTCAGTGAGCACAAAAAGTCGCACCTAACCATTTGCCATGACATAAGAGAGCACGCTGGTGTCACTGCATGGCGCATCCTTTCATTGTCAATCACGTCTCATGCTGCACCACTGCACTCGTATGTCATGTCGTACCACAGGCACAAGCGCCAACCCGTAGCCTTCAGTTCCCTCGTGTAATACTTCACTAACTTAGCACAGCGTTGACGATGCATTACGCTCCATGTATCAGAGTGAGGGGGCCGAACAGTCATTCATTGACCCTGGGTGCGTGGCCGAATAAGGAATTCGTGGTGATAATTCTGCTTGTTGCAATGTTGTTGTTGTTGTTGTTGTTGTTGTTGTTGTTGTTGTTGTTGTTGTTGTTGTTGTTGTTGTTGAATTCTCAATTTTGAAGAATCATTATTGTTGAATCCCCTCACTGGTGCATACTGTTTTTTCTCCATCACTGTGTGCCCCTCGATGCTCGCACCCTGTTTTTGGAAAGGGAAAGTCTTAGTGCTCAAACTGCGCCCCTGGCCCCCCGTATTACAACAACAACAACAACAATTACTAGCACGTGGGGACACTCCGTTCTCACCAGTGCCAGGGTTTTCATAGGAGGCGGGCAATACCCCCACTTTGTGGGGGGGCCGGTTCAAGCTCTACCAAATTTCCAAACGACTCTTCGCCACCACCCACACCCAGCTTCCCGCCCTATGACGTTCGGACACTTCACTTCGTGGCATGCGGACGACCGTGGCTACTATTCAGGGCCCCGCGGCCGACGACGACGGCGTGCGCGCGCGAAGAAAAAACGAATGTGTCCCGCATGGTATTATTTGACAGGGATGATGGCCCTGGCAGGTGCGCAACCGTTGTTGCAGAAGTTCGAAAAAGTTGCTCGCAAAAGCCCGTTTGACAGAAATGTTTAAAAAGTGTTGGGTTTCCTACGAATCCGCCAGAGCGCGCGGGATGAAATTTTGACAAGTTTTTTTATAACAAAAAAACTTAGTTTTTTTGATGTTTTTATGATAAAATCGCTACGAAAACAAAGGTTTTGGAAGGATTTCGTCTTGCGCGCGCGAATGTCCACTTTATTTAATTTTTGCAAGGGGTTCTTGAAGTTCGGTTATGTTAGAACAAGAAATGTCAACTTTAGCTTATCTTTTGCAAGGGAAAGCGGGCCGTAACAAAACAACCGGATCTGGATCACATCGTTTTACCTGAGACTTCCTCACGAAAATGATGAAAATGTGGCTGCGGCCTAGGCGCGGCGAGGGGGCCGTGCACCAGGGGCCCCAACAATAATTATTCTTTAGAAGTAATAATGTTCAACAACGGCTCCCGATTGAGACTTCCCCCAAATTTACTCAGGACCCCCGCTCCCGCTTCAGACTTCCTCACAATTTACTCAGGATCGGTGCTCCCGCTTGTGAGTTCTTTGCAATTTAGTGAGAACCCCCGCTCCCATCTGAGACTTCCTCACAATTTAGTCTGGAACGGCGCTTCCGCCTGAGACTTTTTCGCAATTGAATCTTCGCAATTGAATCAATACCCCCGCTCCCGCCAGAGAACCCCTCACATTTGATATAGGAATTTGCGTTCTCGCTTGCGATTTCCATACCATGTATTAGGAATCGCGCTTTCGACGCTCAGGAAACACGCTGCGCCCAGGACGCCGTCACAATTTACTTAGGAGTCGCGCTCTCGCCATACTCAAGACCGCTTGAATGTCCCACCCGCCCGACCCGCCCGTCAGGGGATCGCCCGCCCGTCGTGGGCTCCCGCCCGAGACTTCCTTCAGGAACGGCGCTTTCGCATAGGATTCCCTCGAACGCTCACGCTCTTACCTTCCTGCTCCTCCTCCCTCTCCCTCCTCCCTCCTCCCTCTTCTCCTCCCTTCTCTCTCCCTCCTCTCTTCCCTCATCCTTATGCCCCTCTGCCCTATCTCCTCTCCCTCATCTCCCTCCTCCCTTCTCCCTCCCCTCTCCTGCCTCTTCCTTTTTTCTTCATTTCCCTTTCTCTCTCTCTCTCTTTCTCTCTCTTTCCTTTCTCTTCTCTCTCTCTCTCTTTTTCCACCTCTCGTATATGTTGTGTTTGTCTTTCTCTCTCTCTCTCTGCCTCTAAGTAACCGCCCCCCTCTTCGCCCCTTCTCTCCTAGCGTTTTGCCTCTTCCCTCGTTCTTCCCCCTCCTTTCCTACCACTCTCCCTCGTTCTCCCCCTCCTCTTTTTGCAGGGCCCACACCAAGTCCAATGGCGGGCACATGTACGCCCACGAAAGATTGTCCACCCGTTCAGGTTTGCCCGCCTGTCTAAGCTCGCCGCCCCCCGCAAAGAGAAATAATCCCCCCAAAGGGGGTGTGATCGAAGATAAACGGGCGGGTATCGAAGGTGTGGGGAACTCGTTTTGAATGACACACGGACAAGTAAGAGCGAACAGTCTTAGAATGATTGTTGTTCTTGTCGTTGTTGTTGTTGTCGTCGTCCCACCCGCGACCCACACGCGACCCATCCGCGACCCGCCCCGCGACCCACCTGCGACCCACCCCGCGACCCACCCACGACCCACCCGCGACCCACCAGCGACCCACTTCGCGACCCGCGACCCACCCCGCGACCCATCCGCGACCCACCCGAGACCCACCCCGCGACCCACCCTCGACCCACCCCGCGACCCACCGGCAAGGGAGGAAAAACCACCCGGACCCGACAATTCACGTTTACCAAACGGCCCTGGGCGTTGAATAAACAGCCCCGCCTTGTTCGATTCATTCTTTGTGTGCGTTTTCTAAACGGCTTCGCTTGTCGGTGTGATCATTATGGGGTGGTTGTTCTGCCCTCTGCAACCGCGACCCACCCGCGACCCAACAGCGACTCACCCGCGACCAATTTGCGACACACCCGTGACCCACCCGCGACCTACCCACATTGGTGTAAATAAAACATCGGCACCTGGGGCGGGCACGTTGTATAATTCGTGAAACATTGGGGCCTGCGGCGAGCTTCTCCAGAGTCTCGCAAACTGCCGACGTCCCCACCGCCCCCTCACTCTTACCCGCATCTGCGGGGTGCTACGTGATTAAATGTATACATACATATATATATATGTACCGAGATATAGGTATCGATATATATATATATATATATATATATATATGTACTATATATATGTATACATGGTCATACAGACATACATACATGCATGCATGCATACATACATATATATACATATAGTGTGTATGTGAGTATGTATGTATGTATGTCTGTACGTATGTATCTATGTATGTATGTATGTATGTATGCATGCATGCATGTATGTATGTATGTATGTATGTGTGTATGTATGTATGTATGTATGTATGGATGTAGGTATGTATGTATGTTTGTATGTATGTGTGTATATCGGAGTAGGCTCGGGGGCGGGGGTGGGGTGTTGCCACCGGTTGGCATGGCGGCCCCGGGCGTCCTGTGGGGTCCACGAACCCGCCCAAGATGGCCCAAGAGGCCCCAAAGACAGCCCAAGAGGCCCACAAGACAGCCTCGGCGAGGCCCAAGAGGGCCCCAATCCGCCCAAGAGCGCCCCAAGAGAGCCCGAGATGGCTTGAAGATGGTCGAAGAGGGCCCCTAGAGGGCCTTCAAGAAACACAAATCGGCCCGTTCCCTTCGTAAAACGTATACTGTCAGCATGCTCGCTCGCTTCGTCTTCACAGTGCCCCAATCGCCCCCGAGGAACCCCAAGAAAGCCCAAGAGAGACCCAAGAGAGCCCAAGACGGCCCAAAATGGTCATCCTGTGGGGCTCACGGAACCCCCCAGACGGCCCAAAAGGCCCCGAAGCCGGCCCAGGAGGCCCCCCAGACGTCTTCAGGGAGGCCCAAAAGGGCCTCGTTCGAAAATCATGTCCCCAGAAGCCTCTCCAGGAACATGATTTCCGGGTTCCCCGGACGCCCAAGAGGCCCCCCAAACAGCCTCAGCGAGGCCTAAGAGGGCCCGAGGTGGTTTGAAGATGGCCGAGATGGCTTGAAGGTGTTCGCCACAGAGATGGAGGAGGATCAGCAGGACGAACAGGAGGGGGATGCGGTGACGTTGCTGGCGCAGCGCGCATCGTCGCACCTCGGTAGTCCTATCCGTCGTCGTCGACGTCGTTGTCCCCAGTTTCGTCCCAGCCACAAGGGAGAACGCAAAGTTGGCATGAACTCAGGCCTGATGAACTCTCCCTCCGGGTCCTGCTCAGCCGGGCTCGGACTCTACCCCTCTCCCTTGTTCCAATGTTGGCGCTGAGGAGGAGGAGAATTGGGAGGGGGAGGGGCAGGATGGGTGGCAAGAGGAACAATAGGAGGAGGTGCAGGAGGAGAAGGAGGAAGCATAAGAGGATGAGGCGGAGGAGGAGGAGGAGGAGGATTCATAATTGGACGAGGACGTGGAGGATAAGCAGGAGGAGGATCAGCAGGATTAGCAGGAGGAGGAGGAGGAGCAGCAGCAGCAGCAGCAGCAGCATCAGAAGTGCCAGAAGGAGGAGGAGACTCTGGGTGCATGCTTCTGCTTTCCCCCTTCCAGCAGGAGCTGGACCAGCAGCTCGCAGCGGTGGTTGCAGACGCTGAACAGAACAAGTGGGTCAGCGCCGCCCGCCGTGGGGGCGTCGATGGCAAATGCTCTTTCGAAGGGGCGATTCCCATGACACCAGGAAGAAGGTGGCGAGGGATGATATCCTCTCTGTCGTCTTCCTCATGCATTTCGATCTTCTCGTCGTATTCCTATTCAGCCTCCTGCCGATGATCCCTACCAACTCTATGCTGTTGCTGCTGTTCCTGATTCTCATTGGTCTTCTCCTGCTCTTCATGCTCGTCATCATCATCCCTCTTGTTTCGCACGTTCATCCCGCCAGGCGTCCGTACCTCCCCCGATACTCCTTCCCCAGCTTCACTCTCCCATTTCTTCCCCATCCAGCTGCCATTGACGCTGAAAGCCTGCTCTTTCTGGTCCCCCCTCGCCGCCTTCAGCAGCACTCCTTCTCTTCATCGTCGTCTCCCTCCTCGTCCTCCTCCTCCTCCTCCTCCTCATCCTCCTCCTTCTCCAGGAGCAACTCTGGCCCAAGAACCCGCCTCAGCTCCGACCGCGCACTTGCTCATTGAACCCCATGTGAGCAGTACGCCACAGGGCAGCGCAGCGGGGCTGGGTCGTCTCGGGCCAGATAGTTGCATGGGCACGCTACCTCTCATTATGGGCACACTACCTCTGAGTTGTTTTTTCTCATAGCGAAGATAATCGTTCATAACGTGCAGAGCGCGGATTTCGCGCGACTTGAGGAGACTTCCGAGAACACAGCGAGCAACGACTTGGTCATTTCCATCGGTATTGGCAAAGCGGCTCAGAGTGAAGCAGAGATCACGCAATGCCAGTTTCTCATCACAGAGCTATTCAGTTTGGTTGGCGGAAAAGATGAGTTACGAATCGAAGCTGTGGCTTAGCAGTATTGTGCGGCGAGAAGCTCAACGGCACCGTGTCCAACATTCAAGTGCCGTCGAAATCTCGCGGCCTATCTGGGAGATTGGGTTTAGTCAAAGTTCATTTGGGCAAAGTGAGTCTGGCAGTGTTTGTTATTTACTTGCCACCGAAAGGAACAGCTGCAACATTGTTACACAACGCAGTGAAATCCGCGCTTGGTTGGATTCGTAATGAGATGTACCGCATGGGTAGCAATTGTCTACCGCTGATCGTTGGAGATTTTAAATGTGCGTTTGGGCTCCGCACAGACGTCGCGGGCAGGAAGTATGTGCGCATCAGCAACGAGGTTGGCACCAACGAGCCCGCATTGGAAGGCAACGTTTCTACCATGATTCGTGAGTTTCTGGAAGAGAATCATATGGCGGTTGCGAACACGTCCTGGACATCAGGCATGACTTTCTTCCCGGGGATGCGCAGAAGTAAGATTGACCATATCGTTATGCCGCAGCCCACCGTCCCCCGTATCACGAGATTGAATACGCTGCAGGGATTGGGGCGGAGGCTGCAACAGTTTGTATCGACACAGCTATAATTATGATCGCGTGCCCATCCTGGTGCAGATGGACATTGGAGTCTGCAGATCCCATCAGGCTGGCTTCAGACCACCTGCGAACAGTGATGCGATGATGGCGGCATACACCAGAGGCCACCGACGGCAGGGGTTGCTTGAGAAAGTCGAAGAACGAGCACAGCAGATCAGCGAAGACGACTGGAAACATATTTGGGACCGTGGCGGCGTGCAAGCAGCCTGGGGCCTCCTACCGGGATGCATGCGCGAAAGCATGACATGACTTTTCCCGGAGCAAAAGAACAGCATCATCGATTACGAGCAGATGCGCGAGCAGAGGATGCAGCTTATTAGAGGGCGGGGCGGTCTACGCGAGCAACAACATCGCACAGGCAGCAAAACTGTCGAGGGCAACGGTTGCAGCGAATTCAACAGAATCGAGCAGCAGTTGAAGAGCATTACGCGCCGCGTGCAAGGGCTTCGTAGACTGCAGAAATCGGAGAAGATGAAGACTCTAGTTAACGGGATCATGAAGGCTTGGCGGGGTGGCACAATGGCTTAGATGCGCCGAATACGGTCCACACTCTCGGGCGCGGGCAAGGATCCCCCCAAAAAGGTTTTTGTTCTCAGCCAGACGGACGATGACTACGACAGAATGGGAACTTGGATTGGCTGGAGCCCCTCAGGACCGAGGGACGCAGCGTGCTAAACTGACCTGGGCAGAACGGATCAGCGACCGTTGCTTTTTGCCACATTTGCATCAACAGCCCGACCCCATAGAACTCGTTCGCAACGGCAAGATGGGCCAGATCGGGTATCTTCGTCGAGCACTTAAACGGCGCGCTGGGCCCTTTTGGGGTGCACTAGCAGAGGCCCTCGGCATGCGCATTGACTATCGCATGCGCCATTTCTCAAGGGATATGTTATGCACACCAGAGACGTTCAGCAGGCGTTTTCTTTATATGATTTGCTAACCTTGACTGGGATCGTCGGATTCGCGCCGATCGCGTCGCTCCGCTCGCAGTCGCTCGCGCGGCCCAAGAACAATGGCGAGGTAGGCGTCAGGGGGCAGAGGGCCCTCCATTGCTTTGACGCGTTCGGCCTACCGCTATTCGGTCACCTCCATAACGTCCCCCGTCGACCCGCGCCCCCCGATTGCGCTCGTGGAGGCATGCGAGGACGGAGGAGGGAAGGGTGCGTCTTGTCACTTTCTGCGGCAATGTGGAGATGCAGAGATGGGGGGACTCAGTCATGTTGTCTCGAACTGCGGCGGAACGAACGCTTTTCGCGCGCACTCAGAGGGGGGCACTGAGAGAGCACCATGCGCAGCACGGGCGCACAGAGAACGTCGGGCTACTAGACCAGTCAGTTGACATGGCCAGTATTCATGCCGCGGGAATCGACGGCGAGATAGACCCCTCCCCCCCCCCCATCCGCCCACATAGGCACTGCCGCGGGGCGCTCTATGGCGGCGAGGGACTTCGTAGACGTGCACTTCCCGACAACTGCATGCTGGAATGACGAATTAGCAGGATCTGAGGTTAGCTATGGATTACTTCGAGGGCCTTCGGTGATTGGTGGTGGTGGTGGGGGGGAGGGGGGGCAGGTGGACATAGGGATCGGCCTCTTCGCGGATGACGCAACGAGAGTACATGTACACGCATGCGCACCTGACGGCAAGTACCTTGCACATTAATCACCTCATCGCCCTGAGTCGCGACGGCTCGTTGCAGACCGCCAGTGAGCTCGCTGGGAGCCGCTTCCTCCGGGGAGATGCATGCCGGGAACGCCGCGTTCTTGGGCCCATCCTCAATTTTGACGGCAAGTTGGGAACTGAACTTAAACGCAGACTCCGAGGGGCCAGAGCGGCTTGGCGATCTTTAGGCGCAGTGTGGCGTCAGCCTCCTCACCGCGGGCAGTTGAGGCTTCTTTTCACTTGTTTCGTGCGCAGCGCGGCCATCGCGGGATTGGCGGCCTTTGTGCTGCCGCCAGAGTTTACCGGGGCGCTGGGCACCACTCTCAACAAGTTACTTGCACGTTCGATGCATGGACGAGCTAGGCAACAATACGGGGAACGTGCCCGTACTTCTAGCAATGCACAGGTTTTCGAATACCGGCAGTTATGCGACGCAGCCATATCTTCGAGCGCAGCGCTCGCGGTGGCACCAGGTCATGGCGCGAGGGCCCGACAACCATAAGCAGGTGCTCGTGGCCAGTTTCGGCGCCGCGGAGCTAGACCGTGAGCTTGGGCGGCCACGTCTCACACCTGGATGGGCGCCTAACACAGCACAGTACCCCTTGGGCGCGACAGTGCAAACAAGACCTGCTGGCGTTGGCAGCGCTGGACAGGACGTTCGGAGACGTTTGGCACGAACGTGAACATGTTCTCAGCGTTATTACCAACAGCAACCTCGCCCTCATTTTCTCCAGAGTAGACATATCCAAGAACAGGGGCCCCCTCGCCCCCACAAGCGCAGCCAGCGTGTTACGGGCGCAGAGGCCGCTGGGACTTATCGCGTCGGAAGGGGCGGGGGACGGCAGCCAGCGCGCAGAGACGCACGTGCACGACGGCGCGAACAGCGAGCACAGCACAGCGATGGGTGAATGGATCTGTGCGCATGAGGAAGACGACGGGACCCCTCGTGGCAGCGCGTTTCAGACACTTAAAGGACCGACGGCACAAATCGCGCACGCGCGCAACATGAGTAACATGCACTCCATGCTCATTTGCACGAATGCATGTCCCTGGTGTAGAGCAGCCTTTGCCTCGCGCGCGTCATGCTTACGACGTTGCCTCACTGTGGACAAGAGACTGCCGCGCACCTGTCTCGCCCGCTCTACGCCTTTTGCTTCTCGGCCCATTTAGCGGCATTCATGCGCGCGCGGCTGCTGATCCGCAGAGCGCACTGAACTTAATGATCACCTTGAGCACGTTCGCACTCGCGTTGAAGGGCCCGATGGCGCAGGGCTGGGGAGTCGCGACCGACGGGCGACGAGCGAGAGGGCCCTCGGACGGAAGCACGCCACAGCCCTCATGCAAGACGGCCCATGGCGAGCAGGAGAAGCAGAGTGGCAAGTCCGATGGTTTCGACGCGAGCGACGAGGAGCTACCCGCCATGGAGCAGCGGACTACCAGCAACGCACAGCAGACATGGGGCATTTCAGGCAGTCTCTGGGATTTCCTCCTGGTGGAGGGGCGGCGAGCATCCAGCATGTCTGGCGGGGGCGGGAGCGGAGGCCAAATGCGCCGAGCAAAGCCAGGCGGACGAGAAGGACATGGGATCCCCGCGCGTGCGCGCGGCAGCGGATCTCCTGGGAGCGCTCCGCAGGAGGGACAACCCGCCGTCAATGATCAAGAGCGACATGAAGAAGCCCAACCTGGCAAAGGACGAGATGGGTTAGAAGAGCTGGCGGACATCGTGAGTTACATGCTAACCAAGAGGATCTACGCAGAGCAAGGGAGAGCAGAGAGACGGAAACTACACATCATACTGGACCCCCCTGGCATGGCACCGTTCACCTCGGAGAACGAGACAGAGGTCAACAAGATCCGTGTAGGGAACACCGAGGAGCCAGTGAAGTTCGGAGCGCTCAGCAGCATGCAGATTCGCAGCAGGGGCTACGCGGCGACGAAGGCCACGGGCGGAACAGCCAGCGCGGGCGCGCCTCCTCCCGCAGCGCTCGAGAGGCAGGTGCAGAAGTCTGTCCGCCAGCGGCAAGCTACGGAGTAGATGTGGCAGGACTGCGTCGACACGCGCAATCAGGCAGCGTGAGGGCAGCTGAATTGTTGAAACGCCTTGAAGGGAAACCACCTTCAGGCAAGCGGGAGTCATTGGGCTTCCTGCTCGGTTTGACTCAGCGCGGCTGAGATTGTGCCAACCTAGTTATGGGCCAAGGGGCCCGTGCGGAGATAGGACGGAGACCTGTTCGCGGCGTTGTGCAGTGGATTGGTCTGCTTTAGGATGCAGGCCTCGCCTGTTCCGCTCTCGTCGCCACTAACCCCGCTGGGCCCCTGGCCCCAAGTCCCCGCCCCTTCTCCTGGCGTCCTGGCCTGGTGTCAGGAGGCGTCTCTGATGGATCCTGGGAGCTTCCCTAGTCTGATTGATTTGTTCTTTTTAGCGCGGGCATTGCCTACAAACCGACTGGTGGGAGCGGGTGGGGAGCGTGGAGCTGGAGTGGGGTGGAGCTACTCTTGCAGCAACATGGGCGCGTCGAGGTTTTTGAAAATCAATGTGAAGCTTGAGAGCCTCGCCCGAATATGAGGGGGATGCACCATAGTGCGATTACCCCTCATCCGTCCACAGCTGTTAACGTCGGAGGGAATTCGGCCCAGTGTCGAAGCGGGCCCGAGAGGCTCAATAGGCCATAGGTCCCGCAGGCTTCCCTCTGCCACGCCGAATGATCTAGCCAGCAGCGAATAGCTCGAGTTCCAGGCGAGCAGTTTCGCTTCAGCCGTGGAGACAGAGGTTCACCAAACTGCCAAGGCTTCCGACTCCGACTCCGGCTCCTCCTTTTCCTCCTCCCTCTTTTCTTCCTCCTCCTCCACCTCCTCCTCCTCCGTCTCCACCCCACGCTCGTTTCCTCCTCCTCCTCCTTCTCCTCCTCCTCTCTTGGTTGACTTCGCTCAGCTTCCAGGTGTATGTGGGCAGCCGTTGATGGCAAACACATCTTCCTCCTTCTTATCCACCTCCTCCTCCTCCTCCGTATGACTTCGTCATTGTTCCTGTCCTATCCTATCCTCCTCCGCCTCTTCCCTGTGTTCTTCTCATTGCTGCACTGCCCAGGTCCGGCTTCGGGCCACGCCACTACATCGAGTGATGGCCATGATCCAATCAAGTCGGTTTCGCTACACTGCTGTTCTGTCCCCTCCGCCTTGCTTCCCGTCCCCGTCCCCCGCCTGCCCCTCCCCCCCCCGTCCCTCCCGCGCTCTCTTGCTCACTGCTCTTCCCCCGTGCCCCTCCCCAGCCCCAGAGGCCTGGCGGCGCGACGCGGTGCTGCTCAGCTCGCCCGAGCCTTGCGCCGGCGCTCGCGTGCGGGAGCTGCTGAGCTGGGCGGACAGCGCGCAGGGCAGGCCGCCCCTGGGGCTCTGCTCGGGGGGGGGCGGCCGGTTGACGGTCCGGGCCCGTCCCCCTGCCTGTTGCAGAATAGTCGCTGGCTCGTCGGATCCCGCTGCGCCGGCCCGAAGAGTTCCAGCGAGCGGGGGGTAGGGGCCAGGGATTTGTCCAGTATGCTATGCTATGTCTGTCCACCGCTTAAAGGCAAACGGCGGCCTAAGTACGGTTTGTATATTTGTTTCAGCATCTGTGGCCAGGAGGACCGGCCAGAACAGATGTTGTTTTGTGTCCTGTGGCATCTCTGCGACGCCCCATGAGGAAGGGCCCATATATCAGGAGCGAAAGAAGGACGTGCATGTACATGAATCCACGCTGTTTTCGAGAGCGCGCGTTACGCAAATGTTCGCATCACGCGGCCAGTCTCGCGGATCGAGGGGCCGCGTTCATGTACATAACTGGGCGCGTACGTCCTGTGTGGGCTCCCTACTATACCCTGGTATGCAGACTCGCTGCTCCCACTCGTCCAGAAGTCCAGCGCGTCCAGCAGGCCCTCGAGCTCTCCAGCGAGTCCTGTCCGGGGCCGGGCGGGCTGGCCTGCCCTGGCCTGGAGAGGGGCCTGGGCAGGCCAGCCACAGCTGGGGGAGCTGTGGTCCTCACCCCCCTGGGGGACCCCTCGATTTCGACGCCACTCTCGAGAGATCGTCGATGCGATGGGTTCCCCCAGGGGACCACAGCTCCCCCAGTTGTGGCTGGTCGGCTGGGCGACCTCGTCGTGGACACGCTGCGCGGGGCCTTCCTGGAGGTAGTCTCGGAGGCACGGGCGGAGCGCGTCCGCCGGCACTGCGACGACTGCAACGCGGGCCCTCTTCCCCAAGGCCCCAGAGGCCTCCACAGGAGTCGGGCGTGTCCCCCTACAGGGGGATTTCCGACGACAAAAAAAAACCCAAACCATACACCAAAAAGGCCAAGAAATACTCAAAAAATAGTCCCCAGACTATTTTTGGATTATTTTTGGATTATTTTTGGGGGATTTTTTATTTTTCGTCGAAAATCCCCCTGTAGGGGGACAGGCCCGCCTTAAGGCCAGCAGCGTGAGGCCGCCGAATGTGGCCATGTGCGACAGTCGACTCTTCGCCGGTTCGATCCACGCGGGCTGGAGCCATCGATAGAGCCGCTCATCACTGGGGACCAGCCAACCTCTTGGACGTAGACGACGCGATGGCGCAAGCAGCCGCGGAAGGGGAGGACAGCCTCGCGCCCTTTTTATGATCTTGCCGCCGCCTTCGCTTCCATGGAGCACGAGTGTTTGCATAAGTGCTTTGCATCGTGAGGCTGGCCCGCCTGGCTCCTCCGAGCCATCGGCATCTTGTGTCAGGACAATTGCTGTTCCATCAGCCTGGGCGCAGCCCGGTTCCAAAGCTTTCCGCTGGCTGGTGGCATCCGCCAGGGTTGCCACCCCTCTCGCCTCTTCTGTTTGCCATGGCCACAGACCTCGTGCTGCGCAGGCTGCGGAGGGCATCCCTCTCCGCGTGGGCTGACGATCTCGCCATGGTTATCAGGGGCGGATTTGATCGTCTTCGACGGCTCCAGACATTCTTTGCGGACTTCGGTTTGGCTTCTGGCCTCCAGCCCCATGTAAAAGAAAACTGTCTTTGTGCCGCTCTTCCAGTTCCGCGCGCAGAGAGTTCGGGACGAGGTGGCGCGTAGGGCCCCAGATGGGGGGTCTCCGCATTGCAAGTGTTGCGAAATATTTTGGTTTCGCGGTTGGCCCCAGGGAGGGCGTCTAGCTCTTGGGACGCCCCGCTGCGCAATATTTCGAAACAGACAGTGTTGGGCCGCCTCGGCCTATGTTTGCGTGTGCCATTGCAGGCCTACCAGGTATAAATCAGCTCGGTACTACAATATGTAGCCCAGCTGGAGGACCTCCCTCTGGATTGTATTGTCCACGAGCAGAAGGCATGCCAATTGCTGCTACAGGGGCCGACGGGATGGATGGAGACATCCTGCCTTCGGGATTTGCGCTCTTTCAGTTTCCGTGATGAGCTTCCGGATCTTGCTGCAATTGCTGCGGCCGCAAAAGTCTGCGCACCGCGCTTTCAAAATGCCGCCCACGGCGGCCTCTGCGTGCAGGAAAATGCAGCAGCCATGTGGGATGTTCTTGTTCACCCGAATTGCTCTTTGGCCCAGATGCTGGAGAGAGGCAGTCGTGGGTGCAAACTTGCTTCTTGTTCAAGCTGGCCGCTGCTGACGGTGATCTGCGGCGGCGGGCGTGCCTCCTCCGCTGCGTGTCGCCTTCGGCCTCGCGCTGCAGACGTGGCTCTGCCTGGGGGTGGGAAGCATTCCTTCCAGCCTCGGCCTCCGGGGGCCATGGCCCGGCGGCCGCGTGCTCCGGCCGAGGCCTCCGGGCGCCCGGCCTCGCCTCTCCCCCCCCCCCGCCGCAAGGGCCCTCGGGGGCCCTCGGACCGCGGCCCCACCGCTGCCGGGGCTCGCTCGAATCGGGGGTGGACAGACCTCCTACCCTGACACGTCGATCAGTGACTTGTCCGTTTTCGGTTCTCGAGAGGGCGCCGCGGCCGTTCTTTTCCAGGCTTGCGCCCGCCAGGCTTGGGCCCGAAGTCGTTTTCACCAAACCACGTTTTACTAAAGGGAGGTCTGTCCATCCCCGAAAGAAGGTCGGTGGCGTTGGGGGAGGGCAGGAGGGGAGTTGACCACCCTGGATCGTGCCCATATCCCCGCGGTTAGGGGGACAAAAAGTGGCATGAACATAAAAACTCGGAGGTCCGCGCGGATTTCTCGGATCGGCGCTGGGCCCCCCTGGCGGCGCCTCCGGCGCCGCCCCTGGCGCGCTCCGCGCGCCAGGGAGGGGGGTCCAGCGCCAATCCGAGAAATCCGCGCGGACCTCCGAGCTTTCATGTTTATGTAACTTTTTTGTTCCCCTATTCACCACCCTGGATTGTACCCATATCCCCACGATTGGCATCCCCCGATCTCGATGCCGATCGTAAGGGTTCGGCAGTTTCTGGCGGCGCACCCCTCAGCTTGTCCTCGCTTCGGGGCGCTTCTCAATCTTCAGGATCGGGTAAAAGGTCGCTGTCGGTGACAGGTGAGGAGGGGCCTTCGTGGATGGCGGCGGGGCTTCTCGGGAGCTCTGCGGGCTTCCGAGAAGCGTGCCGGGTCTTCGGGGAAGGATCCGCACGTCTCTCGGGAGGCCCGCTGCCCTCCGAGACTTCTGAGAGGGCCCGCCCTCTCTCATCCCCCCCCGGCTCGCCAGCGAGAGGAGCACATGCTAGGAACAAGAGGACATGATACTCATACTTCCCAAGCTTCCTTGGCTTACGTGGGTATCCTGAGTTTCCGCACGGGCTGCAGAACCGAGAGCCGCTGGATAGTTCTGGAATCCTAGACCGTATCTCGATCCAATCATACCATGGACATCTTTCTCGTCATAACCCAACGGCACAAACATCAACCTGTGGATGTCCGCGCGGATTTCTCGGGCCGGCTCGGCACCGCAGTATGGGCACGTACACACACAGGCGAGTAGCGTGGAAGCCAGCCCGAAGCTATAGCCTTCTGAGCCCAGTCTCGGGCGTTGCAACGCTGCCCGCGTAGGGGAGGGTTGGGTTCGCCGAATGGTGAGCCAACGTACTCGGTAGCGGAGTCCCTGTCGGAGGAGCGTTGGCAGGCCCAGGGCCGCGGCCCCGAGGCTGTGGAGTAGCATTGCGCCTGGACGTTTCTGCACGGCTGCGGGCGGGGTCGCCGGGCAGGCAGGACGGAGATGAGGATTGCGGGGTCCCCAGGCTTCGGTTCCAACGTTGTAGGCCCCAGGATGTTTGCACCGACGTACAGTCGAGGCGCTGAAGAAGGAACCCTTTTCGTTGGGGAGGTGCTCGGTGTTCCTGGATTGTTTCACAGCTTGCCTCAGGTTTTCCTTATGTCTTCGATGGGAAATCGAAGTTTAACTTGTGGAAAAAAGGGGCCTCGTTCCTTATTTAGGGTTCCTTAGGTCAACGCCCCGACTGAATAGTCATGGGTGGGGTCGACATATCGAGGGGAGACATGGACAATGATTGGCTTGGGGTAGGAGGATATGGGAGGGAGGGAGGGAGGAGGCGAGGGAGGATAACGCAATCAGGAAGGAGAAGGCGGACGCCCCCCCTGAGCCCGAGGCGCCTTATTGCGCTGGCGGAGATGAGACGGGCCTGCCCCGCTGCCCCCCGCGGGGAGGGGGAGGGAGGGGAGGGCAGCGAGAAAGGGACGGCATAATCGAGTGCCATCGGACGGCTGCGTGCCCGACGCAGTCGCGCAGAGCCGCTGGTTCGCAGCGAGTTGGGGGGAGGGATCGATCGGAGGATGGGAGGGGACGGGGGAGGGAGATGTGATGGGGGAGGGGAGAAGCATGGAGAGGGGGACGGAGGTGGGAGGTGGAGTGAGAAGAATGGGTGCGTGGAGGAGGGGGATGAGGGAGAGGAGAAAGGGGATAAGTGGCAGGGATAAGGACTAGGAGGAGCAGTAGCAGAAGAGGACACAGAGACGCAGAAGGGGAGGAGGCGGAGGAGGAAGAGCGGAGAAGGTGGAGCAGGAGGAGGATGAGGAGGAGGAGACAAGCGTAGGATGAGGAGCAGGGAGTATGAACCAAGGTTCATGTGTCGTCCATGAGGAGGGAGTGGAGGCGAGGTGGTGATGAGTTGGCGACGGACGCGCTGCGCTTCTGAGATATCGGGAGGGCCCAGCAATGCAAAAGAGTGAGGACGTAAGCCATGTTGAAGAGATGCCAGCGCGTGGACCCCATTCTGTAGGTTCTGGCACTCCCGCCGTTTATGCAACGAGTATATGGTGCAAGCCATGGGGCACCGACCAGGCGGCACCACAGGGCACAGCACCACATAGCACCGAGCACCAGCGGACGTTCGCGGCACGCAAGAAGCCCGTGGACAGGGATACCACAGTGCACCAATCACAGGGCACGGACTGGGACATGGCAGCCTGCGTCCCAGCGGGGACCAGAGTGCACCAGCGCACAATGCACAGGGCGTCAGCCATAGGGCACCGACCGAGCACGGCTGGTTGCGACACGCAGTGGCCATTCATTGAGTACCGGCGCACAGGCACCAGCCATGGGGCACCGACCAGGAACGGCGGACTGCGTCGCAGAGTCGGCGACTACACAGGGTGTCGTCATGCTGGGGTGTGGTTTGCGATCTGCGTCTGTTAAGGCTTGGGGGGGCACCACGTTGCCCTCGTCGGGCCGCCTTAGGGCGCTGCGGAGAGCTCTGCCGTGGTCCTCGCCCGCCCCCTTGGGAGTCGCCGACAGAGGGCCAGCCTCGGTGCCCAACGCACAGAGTCACCAGCGCACGCGGCGCCAACGTGCAGCGGGCACCAGCCATCTGTGACACCGACCGGCAGCGGGACCGCGACACAGGCCCAGCCATGGGGAACCAGCGCATAGTGCATTGGACGAGGAGGAGGAGGAGGAGGAGGAGGAGGAGGCGGAGAAGGAGAAGGAGAAGGAGAAGGAGGAGAAGGATAATGAGAAGAAGGAGGAGGAGGAGGAGGAGGAGGAGGCAGAGGCGGATGCGGAGGCGGAGGCGGAGGAGGAGGAGGAGGAGAAGGCGGAGAAGGAGAATGAGAAGGAGAAGGATAATGAGAAGGAGGAGGAGGAGGAGGCGAATGCGGAGGCGGAGACAGATGAGGAGGAGGAGGAGAAGGAGGAGGAGGAGGAGAAGAAGAAGGTAAAAGGTAAAGGCCCATAGGGGGGTCTGGTCTCTGTGTAGCCGCCCAGCGCGTGAAACACCTCGCGGACCCCTAATAGGTGATTTTACGGAGGCAGGCCCCCTGGACCGTTGCCAGTGCTGGGGGTGTGCCGGGGCCGTCCCCTGGACAACTCCAGGTGAACGGGTACCCCTCGCAGGGAGACCCTGCGCCAAACAAACATTTGCTGGTGTACGCAGGGAGGTCGACGCTGCGGCTCTGCAGCCCGCCGCGCACGCCTCCCACAGGGGGGACGGACATGGGTGGCCAAACGCCAGCTCGACGAGAGATCTCCTCCACCACCCCCCCTCCTCCGCCGCCTCCCCCTCCGAGTCCGACACGCCAAATGCGCGCCGCGCCGACTCCGCCTGCAGGCGGGCCCATCATGGGACTTCGTACATCGGGGAGCGTGGACCCCAGACAGTGCGAACGCAAGAGGGGGGAGCAGGGAGGCCAAGCGGGAGAGGGGGGCAAGCACTGTCGGGGAAAGTGGAGTCAGGTGTGCGACAGCTATGCGAAGCGTGCATGATGGCAACAGGCATATCATTGATTGTTTGGCAATGCGTGTGTGTGCCCGTCTTCTTCGAAACTCAACAATCCACCTGACTCGAACAGTAAACTGTGCAAGAGAAGGCTGATAGGTTCCTCCGTCCAGTCTTTGTTGCAACTTGCTATGGCATTGAACTCTTCAATAGGTACCGCCTCGTTATGTTCCAGGTTGTAGCCCGTGGCAACTAGTAATACGGCCTCTTACAGACTCTCTGGTTGCGGAACCCCACAAGCCTTTTTGTTGTCCAACCCATCTTTCTCTTTCCAAGAGAGTACATCGTGAGATTGCATGACGCCCAACTCCTGATCCAATCCTGTAAGTTGTGGCGCACCTTGCTCTCACACGGTGTCTTGAGGCATCGTAAAATCTCCCTGGAGCTCAGGTTAGTACCCTCCATTCGGTCACTCCAAACCAACTCGTCAATTGGATCGTACTTGCACAATGTACTGGTCACCTGTGTGGGCTCTCCGGCATCTTCCAGGCGAGCCTCCTTCGTGGGCGGCGCTCGCAGTCTATCCGAGGTCCACGTGCCAACTGGCGGCGTGTGCACCGTAAGGTGTCGCACGGGCGGAGCAATCTTCTTCTGAGCTTGATACAACATCTGTCTTTTTTTTTGCGAAACGTATGTGCCAACCGCCGGCAGATGCACACAAGGTGTCGCATGAGCAGGGCCCGCATCTTTTAAACGTGCTGCAATCTCTTCAATTGTTTGCGAAGCGTGCCGTGGTGCTGCTGGCAAGTATTTCATGATGTCCAATTTGGCCTGCTGTATTTTTCTCGCGGGAGTCCGTCGGATCCTGTCTCTGCGTCTGGAGCTGGTGCTTTTCAAGGTCACACTTTCGGAAAATGCGGCACATGAATGCATGGTTACGGTAAGCGGAAAAAAGTATATGAGCATTCCCGACTCCCTCTTGTCCCCAGGAAGCGGTCTGGCGGGGGGGCCTGGAAAAGCTACCGGCGTACGGTCCTACACTCCTCAGGCTGGGATGTGGGCCGAATGCGACGCAGAAGGCTAGGCTAGCCTTGGGGAACAACGCATAACGCATATGGCATCGGCCAGAGGGTGCCGACCGGGAACGGCCGAATGGCACACCGAGGACCAGTTGCTCACAGCGCAAGGAAGAAGTTCTAATGCAAGCATGCAAGCCTGCGTTGGGGAATCATAGGCGTGGATATAAAGCCATTGCGCGGGACGGGCGGGTGCACACCGGGACGCGGTGAAGGGAGATGTGACGGCGTCACAGTACCAAGAGGCGCCAAGGCGAGAGCGCCATTCGGCTTTGCCGAAGGCACTCGGTATAGGGAAGCTTGTGCGCATTGTGTGATGTTGCGTACCGATGTATGAGAAGCGATTGCGAAGGAGGAGGGGCGGGTGCGCACCAGGACGCTGGCCAGAGGGGAGGGCAGAGGAGTACTCGGAATGAGCAGGTGAGGATGGGAGAACGAGGGGGGAGGAGAGGCGATTGGGTCAGGGAGGAGGCGACACCGCTGGTCAGGACGAGCCGTCGCAGCTCTCCTTGCTGTCCACGTGGCGCGGGCTGGGCTCGGACGGATCCGAGGGCAGCGCGGTGCGAAGGCCAGTCGCGAGCCATCGGGGAAGCTCACGGGTGAGGCAGGGGAGGGGGCAGGAGGGGGACGGGTAGGGTTTTAGCGGATGGGGGAGGGAGAGATGTCAAGCTAGGTGCGTTCGCGTCATAATTGACGTCCTGCCCCTCCCTCCCATCTATTACCATTGCGTTGATTCTTTCTCGATCCGTGGACGCGAGTCAGCGCGGACCTGGAACTCCCAAAATGATTTCACCGTGTTATGCGTCATCGATAAATAAATGGGAGCTGCGTGCATAGGGGGAGACGGATAAGGAGGAGGATCAGCAGGAGGAAAAGCAGGAGGAAAAGGATGAGGAAGGATAATTGGGAGGAGGAGGAGGAGGAGGAGGAGGCGGAGGCGGAGGCGGAGGAAGAAGACGAGGACTAGGACGAACAGCAGCATTACGAGTTTGAGTGGGAGGAGCGGGAGAAGCAGGAATGCAAGGGGAAGGCGGAGGGGGGGAAGTGAGGGGGGCGACAACGATGAAAAATGACTCGGATCCAGAAAAATTGTCCCCCGTTTGGGCGAGAGTTCGATTCTGAACGATGGGAGCAAAGTGCCGATTCCCAAATGAGGCCACACGCTTCAGCACGAGTACCACTTTGAAATTCCAAAACAATCGAATTGCAACAAGATGCGCAACGCAAATCAGCTATTGAAATTCTGCCAGTGAAAAACAGTACGCGGAGAGGGCCGGGCATCTTCTGGACATTGCCAGGGTCGAGAGGGTAGTAATACCCAGAATGCGTAATTGCGGAAAGGGGGGTGGAGAGATAGAGGCGAAGCGGGTGGTGGGAAGGGAGAGGGGAGAAGCGGAGGGGAGGGGGGCAGGGTGGGGGGGAGAGCGGCGACGGCAAGCAAGGTGCTTTCGTGCCTCATCTGACATGCTATCCCTCCCATCCCTTACCAGGGCGCGGATTGTTCTATATCCGCGGACGCATATCATAGCCGACCTGCGACTCACACAGAAAAACCACTCCGTGTTTTGCGCAATCGGGAAAAGGGGAGTTGCGTGCAAAGGAGGATGAGGAGGTGGCGTGTGAGCAGGAGGATGAGCGTGAGGAAAAGGATGAGGACGAACAACACCAGCAGGAATTCAAGCGGAAGGATTGGGAGTGAGAGGAGGGCCAGGGAAAGGTGGAGGAGGGACAAATGAGGGGGGCGACACGGATAAATGGAGACTCGGATTCAGATACATGGCCCGTGTTGGGGCGAGACGAACAGTAGCAGCAGCAGCAGCAGCAGAAATTGGAGTGGAATGACCGGGAGGAAGAGGAGTGGAATGACCGGGAGGAACAGGATGACCAGTGGAAGGCGGACGAGGGGAAACGATGGGGGGGAAGCACAATGAAGCAAGACTTTGGATTCATAAAAGGTGGCCCGCGCTGTGGCCAGAGCGCCAGTCGGAACGACGGAAGCAACTCGCCGATCCGAAAATGAGGCCCACGCTGCAGCGGGAACGTGTTTTTTGTGTTATCTATCTTTCTATATATATATATATATAAAAGCACCGAAGACACTTGGATTGACAAACGACCTTAAGGACAATGAATGCTTGAAATCCTGTGTTAACAAAAAGAGCGTGGAGGGTGGCGGGAGAGCTGCTGGACAGCTTCTGGGGAGGACGGAGAGTAGTACTTTTATCGTTTAAGTGTGGTGGGGGCAGGGAAGCTGGCGAATGGGAGGGGGGGAGGGGTGACGAAGAAGAGGGTGGTAGGGGGAGGGAAAGATGGAGGTGCCTGGAGGGGGAGGATAAGCAGGGGGAGGGGAGAAGGAGGCAGAGGAAGAGGAGGGAAGGGCGCAGCAGGAGGCTGGAGTGGGGTGAGGAGTTCGGGGATGGGGGAGTAGAAGCAGGAGTGACAGGGGAATGGGAGAGGAGGAGGAGGAGGAGGAGGAGGAGGAGGAGGAGGAGAGGAGGAGGAGGAGGAGGAGGAATAGGAGGAGGAGTAGGAGGAGGAGGAGGAGGAGGAGCAGGAGGAGGAGGAGGAGGAGTGTGGCGTTTCCTTGCAACAAGTGCCTTGCATCATACTTGGCTTCGCTTTTTTGTTCATGCTGAGTGCTCCACGGAGGGAAGCTGCCCGCCCTGCCCGAGCCAGCGGCAGCCGGATCCCGGCGGGCAGCCTGGCGCTCCCATCGCTCATGGCGTCGATGCGGTCTGCGGCGCCAGGAGCGGTGCCATCGCCGCTTGCGGCGTTGGAGCTCAACGATAACAACGATAACGATCAAACGACAACGATAACAACGATAACAACGATAACAATGATCGTTGTCTCTCGCAACAAGTTGCTGGAAGCCTTCGGGCAGCATCTAATTCCAGGTATCCGGTGGATTTTAACATGGCATCCAGTGACCCCCCCCCCACGCCAGGCGGCGTTCATCGGCGTCAGCAGAGCCCCATTCTCCGGGTATTTCACAACCATTCCTCCATGCCATCAGATATAACGTCGGAGCTGCTCCAACAACGATCCGCACATTGCTAGTTGGCACGGCACCAGCGCGAACCCCAGCAGAAGATGACCGGGCGGAAGCTGCATGGTGGAGATCGACCCTCGCCGAGCCCATGTATTCCCTGTGAGTGGTCACTGCGGCCGACCAACACGCCCGGACGCCCAGGCAGGCACCTGCCGATGTGCAGAGTCAGTCGCGCAAGGACTCGACAGCGCAGGTGGAAGCTCCGACTCCTCGAGAGCGATCCGGCGGCCGACGCCTGACGCGATTTGCAGGAGGGTCTGCAGTGCACGTCATTCAGGAGGGGAAACAACACAGACACAATTAATCCTCGATCCCCCAGAAAATATAAGAAAATATGGGAAGTGGGGGGGAAGACAGAAACCCAGAAAATATAAGAAAATATGGGGAATATTTTTATTTGTGTGTATTTATTTGTGTGTCCTTGGGCCCCTTCAGTCATGTGGAGAGTGTATCCGGAGGGGCCGTTTTGACAGCGCCCCTCTGCCTCATCTCACTACATGCAGGACGTCGCCGATGTTCGAGGAGCAGGGCAGGAAGCTGGGCTACCTGCACGGAAGGCGCAAGGACATCGAGTGTTTCAAGTGCCGTGTGCAGGTGTCTTCCTCAGCCGATGGTAGTGGACACGTGTGCGAGGCTGGGTTCCTTTATGAGGCGATTGTGTAGGCGATTAAGACGCGCATGCAGAAAGCCACGGGCAATATGAGTGATCCCACGGTGCTGAAACGCACCGCCCGTCTCGTCATTTGCCGCCGGTCGTCCGAGAGGCAGTCCTGCGGGGAAACAGATTCAGTTTCCCAACGACGGCGAAGCATGTGTGATGAATGTTGTGTACTATCACTTGTGTTCCATAACAGAACAGTGTGGCATTAGGTGTCACATGTATCATTCTGCTATCTGCGCTCTGATGAAGGTCGGTGTGGAGCTCCAGCTTGTCGTGGCGCATCACACCGACAACCTGGGACATTGCGGCAACCTGGAGCTGATTCAAAAGTGATTTTGTCGAGAACCTTGCCGCCTCAGGCGTTAGCTGTTGACTACGATTGGCTCCAGGACGAAATGTAGCACGAGTGTACTGTGTTCCCCGTCCTGCAGCTTCGTCCACAATGCGGAGGGATGTCTCTAACGTATTCGGGAAATTGTTGTCCTTCTCACGCCAGTCAAAAGTACATGTGGATGTGGCGTTCGTCCTCATTTCCTTGCATGGCGGGACCTCCTCGCGCTTGCACGCATTCCTGTGGCTTGGAGTCGGATTCTGGTGGTGGTTGCCCCTTCAGGCGCACAATATGGCGAGCCTTCTCTCATCGCCTCCCTTTCTCGTCGCATGAGGGCAAAAAAAAAGAAGTCTGAAAAGCAATGACAGGAATCATTGGTCTACGATGCTTGCCACAGGCATGCAGGAATCCACGACCACACTTGCGGACTGGCCACGCAACGTGCACAGTTCTCCATGTACGGGTACACTTGCCTCGACGAGGCCGTTATCCTCGTTTCGAGCATGGGCGAGGCTATACGTTGTTCTCCCGCCAACCCGCACAAGCATGCAGGAGTGAGTCCACGAACGCACCGGTGGACTGGCCACATAACGTGCACCGTTCTCCATGTACTGGTACACCTGCCTCGACGAGACCGTCATCCTCGTTTCGAGCATGTACGAGGCTATACGTCGTTCTCCCACCAGCGCCCCATCACCATGCAACTTGCGACAGCACTCGCGCTCGCGCACGGATCTCAGCTGTAAGGCTTGCTTGGCGCAAGTAGTTCCCCAGATCCTAAGATGGGCTTCTTGGTGTTATTCAGACCGCGTCGACTCTCCCTCCCTCCTCCCCAACCTGCCTTCTTCTCCTCTTCCCCACGCTCACACTCACACTCACTCGTCGCACTCAGGCCCACTCATACCCAGGCTCGCTCAAACTCAGACCGCCTCACACTTCGCCTCACTGATGTTCAGACGAACTCGTACTCAGTCTCCGTCGCCTTGCTTCCTCCCTCAGACTCGCTCATCCTCAGACCCACTTTCTCCTTTCACGCAAACTCAGTCACATCACCTCCTCACTCGTACGCCCAGGCTCACGCATGCTCAGAATCACTAACGCCCACAGCCTCTGAGGGATGTCTCACGCGAGGCGCTGGCTGGAGCACTCCCAACGGGGAGCCGCCAGCGGGCATTTCGCGGGCCCGTTCGCGCCCAGATTGTGGGGATGTCTCTTGCGCTTTTGTGTGTCTGTTTGCATGCGCAACATCTTCTGCGTTCGGAGCAGTGTGTGAGTATGTCTCAGGCGAGGCGCTTGTTTCAGCACCCCGAGGGGGTGCCGCCAGGGTGTACTTCACGGGCCCGTTCGCGCCCAGATCGTTGGCATTTCTCAGGTTGGCTGCGTGTTTGCATGCGCAACAGACTTTCTTATCGGAGCAGTCTGTGAGCATGTCTCGGGCGAGGCGCTGGCTTCAGCACCCCACGGGGTTCCGCCAGTGGGTATTTCACGGGCCCGTTTGCGCCCAGATCGTGGTGAGGTCTCAAA